CTCATAGAGCCTGCAATGATCTGCAGTGTCCTGATTATATATTTAATCTTGAACAATCTTGAATATATTTTTTTTTTTTCCTTAAAATAATTTATGAAACACTCATTTTTGTGATCCTAACTTGCAAATGAGAATCATGAAACAACTCAGTTTTTTTTTTTTGATACAACGTAGTAATAGATACGTAGTCTAGCTTCTGCTGGTTTTCATATCATACTCATTCTGATACTTGATTTTTTGTCAGGTCCGTTACCAACTTTTCATTTTGATGTGTGCTACAAGTCTTATCTTCTAATTGGTATTGATACATGTCAATTTTTGTTTTATGAATATTGTATGCCGAAATCACTGCGGGGTAAAGTCAACCAAATAAGCAGCTTGATTAAAGCTGAGCTATAAAAGTTAATAAGCAACTTAAAATAAACTAAAAATGCTAAGGCTTATTGTGAAATATGACATCTATCCAAAAAAACTTTAATGTTTTCTACACTAGTCTAATAATTCGGATGTTGGATTTTAAGAAACGTGAAAGAGAAAGAAAAAATACGTCTATCAAATATATTCAGTTATCGTACGCTTTTGTTGGTTTACGAAAGTACACTCGAACAATAATATGAAATGAAACGGATCAAAAGTACACCCACCTATGTAGTAGGCTTCTAAAATTGTATTGGCTTATCCGTATTATAATTAGTTTTTTCTCAAGCCTATCTTATGAGAACCAAATGGATATTGCTAAACCATGTGATAAGACTGAAATGATAGTACCTTATTATACCTGTCATTTTTACATTGATTTGTGTAGTAACTCTGATTGGACTTACAAGCATGATAGTTTCGTGAAATAGGACAAATAAAGTGATGAAGTAACAATTAGAATGTGATTTTGAGCATTTCACAATGATTTGATGACATTAATGGGAGAACCGAAAGCATTGATCCTGTACGATTATTTGTTGCATTTTTAATTCAGAGAAAGACTTGTAATCTGACCAAAATAAGGAAGATTTTGCACGAGCACCCTGTTCTGATAAAAAACCAGAAACAAAAAAATCTTGTAAACGCGCAAATGGTTTAGTGGTAAAATCCAACGTTGCCATCGTTGGGCCCCCGGTTCGATTCCGGGTTTGCGCATTAGAACCTCTCTGTCAAATTTTTTTTTTAATTAAAGGAGTAGTGATTTTTCTCAGCTGCGTAACCTAATTTGCTTTAGGGACTTGCATGAAGTATCTAAGATACTATGGCCAATCTCGATGTGTCTTACAAGTTGAAATTAATTTTCTTCATCTTGATTAATTTTAATTTCCAATTACAATTGGAGTTTGGAGAATTTAAAATATTCACTTGTAAGAGATAATAATGTTGAACCGCTTAAAAGCCATAGTTGATCTTTATTAAACCCAAAACATCAGCTCAATCAACCAATGATACTCTAATATAAGAGCTACTGCATTGTAAGCACAAAATAATAATTGGTGTATACTTAATTTCTTGATTTTTTCATTTTTCCAATTAATTATTTTTAGAAACTTATCATCAATGAACAATTTAATATAAAAGAATAAATCTAGAACGTATCGATAATAAAAAATAAGGTTTCAAAAATTTTAAATAAAAGGTGTCCAATCTTTTTAATATTTTTTTGAATGTTAGATAACTTTGAATCTGATGTTTGCTCAAGTATTTTATAAATGACAAAAATCTAAACTAATAATTGAAAATGTTATGATTAATAATGTGAAATATTTAAAATAGAGACGCAATGAGTTTAATATTTATTTATCACGAAAATAAGGCAAAATTTAAATAAAACAAAAAGATGATAAAGAATAACAAAACTTATTATTAAGTCAATGCACATAATAAGTGATTTTCCTTTAAGAATGTTATTATGAAAAAGTACAGTAAAGAGCAAATATTTTGCATTCTTCACATGTAATATTATTCTTGCAGAGAAATTCATTTACAAATCCGAAGGAATGTAAATCAAATAACCAATGAGCTCTCCCGATTTTCTATTTTGAACATATATGTCTCTGTATACTGAGCTACCCCATATTACTCTTTGATCAAATCTTCGGAATAAAATATTTAGACGAGATTCAAAAGTTCCGAAATCAGGTTAAACGAAAAGTATAAAGTTTTAAACTCTTTTTGCTCCAAATATTATGAGGCAAATTTGAGCATTTCTAAAATAAACGCCACAAACACAATAGATACATTTTGTGATCAAATCTATAAAAGTTTCCACCGATAACCTGAAAATATCGAATCTTTTCGCTGTTTAAATGTTCACTGTATTGTAAGAGGTACTCTTATATTCAAAGATTGTTAAAACTACGATGTAACTGATATAGTTTCTTTCATCATGGAAATCGAATTTATATGGACAACGAAAAACTTCTTGGGCCTTTCATTGATTGACTGACTATGAAATTACACGAATTTTGATTATTAAAAATTGTTGAATTCAAAGCATGTAGCACAATGCAGATGTCAAAACATTTCGAGTCAAATATTTCGATCACGTTCACATTCAAAGGAGATATTCGAAGTGAAATGTAAAATGTATGGAATGTTCAATATTAAAGCTAATTGAAGGGCTTTATGCATGTAAAACTGAATGTAGGTACAATTTTTCTATAGAATAACTCGCTTTCAACAATAACTCATTAAAATCAATGAGATTAACAATTGTAAAAAACGTTCAAACAATGCTATTTTGCATCAGCTGATTAATTTATGATCTCAAAATATCCTTATCTTTTAATATAGACAATCTTTTACTTATAATTTATTGTAAAAACATGGTAAATTTGAATTCTTAGGACATCTGCGATATTTTGAAAGTTGTACATTAAATCATTTTAAAAATTGTACATACAGCTAGATTATAAGTACAAAAAGAACATAACAAAAATCTTCATTAGCTGAATTAAATGATCTACAATTAATAGTATGCCGTGTAATAATAATCAATTAGGTGTTGGAGGTGTTGAACTATTATTATTTCAGATATAATTTATTCCCCATTTAATAAAATGGACCAAAACTTTAAAATCATAAGAATGCAATCTAAGTGACTTCATGATTATTTAAATTTCTGAAACATCATTTAAACAATCGATGCTTTAGATAATTATAAGTTTAATCAGGAATCTGAAACAAATATTTTTAAAAGACATGTGAATAATGCATTCATGATTGAATTTTTCAATGCAATCTCCACCTGAAGCTTGTTTCCAGTACTTAAACAGTATTAATTTTAATTTCGTTGATTCATAGTTGTTTTATTAAATTTTTTTTGAAAAACTTTAATATTTGAGGAGTTAAGTTATATGTTTTGATCTAATGTTTATTCTTAAATTTTCAACTTTTAAAACTCGTAAATGAAAATTCCTTTTAATTGATAATAATAGATAATATATCCAAGGTTATTCTTTCTAATTTATCATACACCACAAATTTCTCGAATGATAATACTGGAAAAGCAAAGTAAGCAATAATTATTATATAAAAACAACATTTATCACGTCATACATTAAAATATGCTTGGTTACTTAAGCAAGCTAGCCAATATCTTTTTATGGTTAGTAGCATGAACAACACATAATAATTCTACTAATTAAAATAAATTTCATTCTATACTTAAGTTAATATTAAATTTCGTTTCTTAACATATAAATTGACTTAATTAAAAGATTTAATTCCATTTGCATTCTAAATAAATTTTATGAAATCTATTTTAGTTTTATGTAAGTATAGTTAATGAAGGAAGTATAAACAAAGATATAGTAAAAAAAATAATTCATCTTTAATTTTATCGATTTATTTTTAGGCTAATGTAAATTTCGATTATATATAATCTTAAATATAATTCTTTTATAATCTTTGTATAAACTTTTCACGGAAATTTAATAATCAACCTCATTCAACTTTTAATAAAGACTGACCCTTATTCATCTATCCAATCGATCAATCAAAATTTTAAATCGGTTTATCCATCTTCCAATTCACAAAATCATCATCTATTTTGAAATAAATCAATTATCAAGATTCAGATCTAATAACACAACAACTGACCAAAATTAGCCTAATTACACATATCATCATTGAATTTGACAATCAGAAATACTGATCAAAAAAATTACCAATCATTGTATATATTTCATTTTTGTTTTGTTTGATTAAATTATTAATTTTCAAAGATAATATAATATTATATTACCCCTTGAAAAACTTGACATACAAAAAAAATAATAATAAACTAAGTTAAAGAAAGCATTTTAATAGTCCCTTGCATACTTTCACATTTCATTAACGAACAATCTTGGCGGAATCAATTTGAAGACCTACAAGATACGAGATTCAACTCATCGAAGATTTAATTTGTCAACTGAGAAAATAAATTTGATCCATTCTTTAATTCACCAATCATACTATTGAACTTTGATTGATTTAAATTTTACTTAATCAATTTGAATTAACTTAACTGGTCACTCAATTGAAAATTTTAGTCAAAAATTTAAAGTTTATCAATATTTTTGGGAGTCAGATATAAGTTGTATTGAATCTATCACAAAATCTATTCCTTACATATCCAAAACAACTGAATCAAGATTATTGATCCACATCATTCTTCAATTGAATTAATTAATTTATAATCCAATAACATTTGTCATCAACTGGATCTTTTGTTGTTTTTTTCCACTATTACACATTATTTTGTTAATTTTAGTTCAAATTTTAGTTTAATTTATTTGACAAATTTCATTTTCAAAAAAAAAAAAAACAAGGAAAAATAAACAAACAAAATAAAAAATTATATTCTATTATCAAACTTTTCGAACACCAATAGCATCAAATTTAAAACATTACTTGACAAAGAATATATCAAAAGTTACCTAATCTATAGAAATAGTTAAAATCAATTATCAATCAACTGTCTCAAATAATTTATCAAGTTCAAATAATATCAATTGATTTGTTAAAACAAATTCATGTCAACATATTCAATTCCACATATAAATGAAATGAACGGAAATTACAATAACTCAATACCAGGCTCTAACAGTCTGCAATCTCAACAGCAACAACTTTATCCACAACATCCACAACCCTCAACTCAGCAACAACCTCAGCAGCAGCAACAACAACCATATACATCTTATTATATGTACAATCAACAAAATCCTCAACAAGATTATAATAATTATCGTTATCAATATCCAACATCTCAACAATCTAATTATTATCAACAACCTCAACAACAAGGTCAAGTTCCTCCCTCTCAACCTTATAATAGAAATTATACAAGTGCTCCTCAAGTACCACCCACAACTAATGCTTCATCATCTATACCTCAACAATCACAAACACAACAATCTCAACAACAATCCCAACCACCACAAGTTCCAACATCAGTTCAAACTCAACCCCAACCTCAAACATCACAAACACCAGCTCAACCTCAATCTCAACCTACTCCATTACAAGATACTTTAAATCCAGGAGTTACTTCAACAATTGGACAATTTCAACCACCAGGTATTAGACCAAGAGTAACTACAACAATGTGGGAAGATGAAAAAACACTTTGTTATCAAGTTGATGCTAATAATGTTTCAGTTGTAAGAAGAGCAGATAATAATATGATTAATGGTACTAAATTATTAAATGTTGCACAAATGACAAGAGGAAGAAGAGATGGAATTTTGAAATCTGAAAAAACTAGACATGTTGTTAAAATAGGATCTATGCATTTAAAAGGAGTTTGGATACCATTTGAAAGAGCTTTAACTATGGCACAAAAGGAAAATATTGTTGATTTATTATATCCATTATTTGTTAGAGATATTAAAAGAGTTATTCAAACTGGTGTTACTCCAAATGCAGGATTATCTAGTGCTACTACAGGTGCTGGTAGTGATTCTAATTCAGCTGTTAATTCTGTTTCTGTTCCATCAACTGCTCCAACAGCTACTACAAGTCCATTAAATAATAAAGTTAATCCTTCAGCATCATCAAATCAATCTTCTTCTTCATATTATCAAAATTATCCATCCAATTATCAACAATATCCATATAATGGTAATGAACAACAAGGTCAAACTCAACCACAACAATCACAACAAACAGTTCCACCTCAAGGATCATCAACTCAATCAGAATCATATCAACCACAAACTCAACAACAAGCATATAATTATCAACAACAAAATTATTATCAAAATAATCCTTCTACTACTCAGCCACAACAACAACAACAACAACCATATTATCCTTATCCATATAATCAAGGAAATAATGCTTATCAACAACAACCTCCTCCTCCAGGTCAACAACAATATAATTATGCATATTCACAAACTGGAGGTAGTAATGCTAGTGGTACTTCATCAACTATCCCATCAAATACTAATCCAAATGCAACTGGTTCAATTCATCAATCACCTCAACAACCACAACAACAAACAACTCAAACCTCACCTAATCAAGTCTCGCAATCTAATCAATCACCCATAGTACCTAAAAATTAATTACAGAAGTTATCAAGGATTCAATATTTCGATTGTAAAATTATATCCATCCTACATTTCGCATAAAAAAATATATCAAGAGACATCTACTTTAATTGACTATTTTTAAAGATCAAATTGTATTATTATAATTATTACTATTACAAATTACTTCATTGATTAATTCCTCTTTTGCAATATAAAATATATAATTTAATCTAGAGTTTAATAATATTTTTTCGACTTTTCAAATCACTTCTTTAACAATTTTTTCTATTTTTTTTTTCAAATATTACTTTAGTAGATATTACATAAACGAAAATATAATTTTTCAATTGCGCTTACGTGCAAAATTGTTTCGGAAATCTAAGAGTATTTTACGAGTACGAAAATCAGGTTAACTCCGAGATCCTCATATTATATGAGTTTTACATTTAAATTCTATTTACAATCAAAATCATAAAATATTTAAAAAGTTAAAATTTAGGACATAATTACAGTGATACAAAAGAACTCCAAAAAAGGATATTTAATCAATATAAAATTTAGAACTTAACTCCACAACTTCCAATGGTTAGAATAACTTATCCCTCGCAAACTTGAAAAATAAAACAAAACCAATGCATACATAAAGCTTTGAAAAGGAAGGTGCAGGGTACACATTTTTGAATCATACATAATTTGTTTTTCAAAATCATCGCATATTCTTTCACATACAAGTTTTCAAACGAAGGACTTAAGTTTTTACTAGCAAGAATCAAAATCAAAACAAAACAATTTCAACAAAAAATATAATCGTATGATTTTTTGAATTTGGTTTAGTCTGTTTTGCATTAAATATTTCGCTGAAGTGGTGTTTGTGTGTGTTTCTTTAACTAAATCTTCAATTTTAGGCTCTAAACATATTTGAAAAAAATTTACAAAGAAAGATCGTCGGTTTTAGCCTTTAGTTTTGTAAAAATTTTAGAGTTGCTTTACATGAAATTTCGTGCATCTAGGCTTTTTCCAATGTATGAATGCATAAAGAGTTATCAATTGATTTCCATTATCAAAAATAATTTTTGCATTGCTGCCTTTTAATTCATAATTTTGTTAAATTTTTAAATCCTTACTAAATTTGTTCGGAAGAATAGAACAAACAATTTCCCCTTTCCCTTAAATTTTGTTTCCGAAGGAGTTAAATTGACAAACAAATAGTAAAGTGTTTAATTATTAATTTATTATTTTGTATTTTAGAGTACTTATCCATTTACTCTACTATTTGCTCTACTAGTGGAATCACTAACTAGGCATATTCTTACACATGCAAGGTTGAATGAATGAGCTTTGTGAATAAAAAATAAAATGAACTTAATCAATTAAGCTTTTATAGACCCTGCTTATAGTATTTAAAAACTTTTCATAAAGAAAAACTCATGAAAACCTATTTTTTAAAATTTTCTCACAATCGATTTATTCTTTGTTCAAAAAATTTGTTTGCCCCTTACTTGATGCAAGATTAAAAATTTCAAATTCATGAAGGTAAAAAATTGAAAACAAAAAGAAGTTGTCTAAAAACATTATCGTATCTTTGATATTTAGCTAATTTAGCAGTCTAGTGGAGAGTAAGTTTGTCGAATCCCTAAATCTTTAGAACTATACATGATGTGATGAGCTAAATACACATTTGCAAAATGAAATAAAGTTTTGTGGTTAGTTTTACTTTACTTCTCTATTATAAACTAATGTGATGTTATTGATGTCAATAATTTTACTTTTTAATTTATTAATAAAGCCCTTTTTTTATCAAATTATTTCATAGAATAAACTAATAATTCGAATAAAAGTTTGTAACGAATGCGTCGTTCAAGGTACATTCAGGCAAGTTACCTAATTGCAGAAGATGTATTCAAAGATATGTCATGAGTATATGTGATGTTAAACCTCATATTTTATTTACGACTTGAATTAAATTAGACATTATTCGTTTAAGAAGTAGATTGACAGTGATAAATTTTAATGCAAAAATATGAACATTATTTGAACTTGTTTTTGATCTTTTGCCAAATGTTTGCAATTTGGCTGAAAAGTATCACAGCAGCATCGTGCTGCTTATGAACTATAAGGATTGATTATCAAATACATTATAGCTTCGTTGGATGGTCTTAATTATGGTAGAATACATTTTTTTTGATATATTTAGACTTTCGTACCTACATAGTTACAATATTAATTCCATACCTCAATAGATAAAAGTAAAACATATCAAAATTTTCAATTGAAATATCACAAAATGACGAGATTCATGATCTCAATATTGTGTGAAATACGGAAAATTTTATACTTAACAAAGAGTATCCATGCTTTAACATAAAACTTTCAACACTCAGCTTTGGTTTGTTGTTATACTCACAACGACTAGATTTGGAATAGGGATTTTTAGATCCACTCACTTGGTTTAAAAAAAAAAAAAAATTTAGAGAGCTTCAGAATTAATTCATGAAATGGATGAATCACACAGTAATGGAAACTACTTACCACACAGACATTACAGATCTTCTATAACAATCAACTCATAAGATCATCATACGAATTAATTAATATTTTGTTGTCAACTTTTTCTTTCGATTGGGAACATACAATTTTAGTTTCATCTGTACTTGCTATCATTATGAGAATTTGAAGTACCATTTAAAAATAAAGACCCTATTTTAATCAAAATTTGAGCCAATGTTTAAACGTAGAAAGTAAAGCCAACATCATGAAGGGCTCGATATAGCTTTATCTCGGCTAAATTCAATTAATGTTCCCTTATCAATCATTAAATCGATTCTAAAAGAAGAACTCTTGTGATCAAATCATTGAAAAATGCTTGGTAAAATTGATAAAGAAGTTGACATGATTAAAATCACCAATAAAAAGATTCTTATTCTTCTTATTCTTTTATTATTCATAAACGGAAAAATTTGTATGATGATCGTTCTGAAATTTGATGAAGTCAAGAAATTTTTGAATTATGGCCCAAATTTAATTTTCTGTCTTACTTGGCACGTACGGCATCAAATTGATTTACTTAACATTGAGGCTATAAGACCAATAAAACGAGGGATAAGTTAATGATCATTCAGATTTTTTGTTTCTCATCAGAGGGAGCCACTAAAACACGTAAAACGAACCAAATTGATTTTGTAGAGGAATTCAAAGTGTTTATATTGTTTGAGGTTTGAAACCTTTTTTCAACGAAATAGAAAACAATAATAATTATAATAATACTTACTAATTCTGTCTAATTAAAAAATCGTAAATTTTGAAATATACGAAACGGCATTAACTTATAAAATTTTTAACCCTATAATTATTATCAAATTAGTTATTATAATTATAATCATAAAATAAACTTCACCACAATATTCACCTGAATAGTATGTGGCACAAAATTTTAAAAAACTAACTTCATGAAAACCTGGAGAAATGAAAGATAAGATAAGATAAGTATAAACCACAAGACCTAATTTCATTAATTTTGCTTTCGCCAAGAAGTATAGGATGATTCTTTTTCACTTTTGATTGAAGTTTTGATAATGAAGGAAGTTAATTTGAAGGAATCAAATTTAAACTCATCGTAAAAATATGCCATCATGCAGCTATGGCTGATAAGTTACTTCGATATGACAAAAAAAAAACCATAAATCAACCTAACCTTTTCATTCATCTTTGTTTGGTTCTTTGTTTCTATTTAACTCTCACTCTCTTCATTGTCTTCTACAGCCTATTTACAACCACAACCATTATTTAGACCCAGTCATTGTCACAGCCGTATTTCTTTTTTTATTTCTTTTCTTCTTTTCAATTGTTCCATCAATTTTTGATAATAATTTTTTTGCCTTAATCCATTTGCCAAGGAATAATAAATTTTTCCATTTAATTTTAAAAAAAATATGAAACACTATGAAAAAAACTCCACCATACTTTTTCTCTGTTGATTGAAGATCTGTATTGACGTGTTTAAGCTTAAGCTTGCTTACTTTTAAAGTTATTGGAAAATCAGAAATTAAATTGAAGCCGTGCCTAATGTTGTTTGTTTGATTATTATTTCATTCCATTATCAATTTTTGATCTCATTTTTAATCTTGGTTACATTTTTTTTTTTTTTGTATCTACAAACTTATGGTGGTACTGACTTTCGAAAATCAAAAAATAATAAACGAATTTTATTTAATTAATTATTTGATTAACTTTTCTTGGAAATAGTATTGAATTTAACAAATTGATCATTGATTTAATAATTTATTATGGTTTCATTTAATTTTATTATTGGTGACGATAAAGAACAAGTTATTATGATTGTGCCTTAGTTCTTCTTATCATTTCCTCAAATTTATATAAAAGAACATTCAATTGCCCTTTTCAAAAAAATCATTTAATTTCATTTATTTTTATTTCAATATATCACCTTCACCTTCATTCAATAGAGTCTTAAAAATTGTTGCAGCCATAGTTTGAAAACTTTTCATAATTCAAAAATGACTGGAAAAAATCAACAAGAGAAAGGTTTAAATATCAAAATTGAAGCTATCAAATCAATAACTTCAGTTGATCATAGATTAGCTACTGAAGATCATGAAATAGATTTAAAAGCTATAGCATCAACTAATATAAGTTTAGGAGATATTGCAGAATCATTAACTGATTATCAAAAACAATTTATTTTAAAAAGATTAAATTTTGACAATATTATAAATTTAAGTGAATTACCAGCATCAGCTATATTTATGATTGAAAAAATTTCAAATTTAACAATCCCAGAATCAATTGATATTATAAAAGAAGCATTAATCGAACATGAAGATGATGTAAATTTCCCAACTGAAGATTATAAATTTATGGAAAAATTAGTTGCTTATGCTGATGAACATAATATTTCTTCAACAAGTTCACCAAATGATTCAAAAGAAAAATGGAATGAAAAAGTTGAAAATGTTAATGTTGAAACCAATTCAGATGATGATAATTCTTCTCAACCAAAAGGAGGAGATATTGAAGATAAGTTTGATTTTTTTAATATTCATGATTTCGGTTTACAAGTTAGATTAGAAGCTGCATTTTTAGCTTATCATTCACCATATCCTGAAGTTAGAGCAGTTACTGATCCATATGATGATCCATCAATTCCTTGTGAAACTTTTAGAGTTTATTTAGTTGCTATTATTTGGACTTGTATAGGTACTTTCATAAATCAATTTTTCAGTGAAAGACAACCATCAATTTCATTATCATCAGCTGTTGTTCAATTATTTTTATATCCTTCAGGTAAAATTTGTGAAAAAATCTTACCAAATTATACTGTCAAAATAGGTAAATGGAAATTTGAATTAAATCCTGGTCCTTGGAATCATAAAGAACAAATGTTAGCTACTATATTTTATTCAGTTTCAAATGGTGTTTCATATGTCAGTTATAATATTCATGCTCAATTAATTCCATTTTGGTATAATAATACTTGGGTTGATTTTGGTTATCAAACTTTACGTATGTATTAGCAGATTTTTTTGCTACCATATTGTGTTTCAAAAATCAAATACCGTATCAGAATTTTTTACTAACAATTCTTTTCTTTTTTAGTTATATTATCAACAAATTTCTTAGGTATTTCATTCGCAGGTATTATAAGAAGATTTGCAGTATTTCCAACAAGATCCATTTGGCCAACAATTTTACCAACTATTGCATTAAATAAAGCTCTTTTACAAAAAGAAGTTAAAGAAAATATCTCGGGTTGGAAATTAAGTCGTTATAGATGGTTCTTTTACGTTTTTGGTTTTTCATTTATTTATAATTGGATACCAACTTATTTATTCAATGCATTATCTTATTTTAATTGGACAACTTGGATTTCACCAATGAATACTACATTAGTTTCAATTACTGGTTCAGCCACTGGTTTAGGTTTAAATCCATTACCAACTTTTGATTGGAATATTATTAATTTTAATGGATGTTTAATTTTCCCATTTTATGCTCAAATTAATCAATATATTGGAACATGTTTAGGATTTTTGGTTATTGTTGCACTTTGGTTTTCAAATTATAAATGGACTGGTTATATTCCAATCAATTCATCATCATTATTTAATCATTTTGGTACAAGATATTCAGTTCAAGAAATTGTTGATGATAATTCATTATTTGATCAAACTAAATATGATGAAATTGGACCTCCATATTATTCAGCAGCAAATTTAGTTGTTTATGGTGCTTTTATTGCACTTTATCCATTTTCAATTGTTTATGAAGGTTATATGAATAGAAAACCAATTTGGAATGCTTTGAAAGGATTAGTTAAAAATTTTAGAAATTTCAAAGGTTCAGTATATGATGGTTTTAATGACCCACATACTATTATGATGAAAAAATATAAAGAAGTTCCAGATTGGGTATTTTTTATTGTATTGGTTATTTCAACTGTTTTAGCTATATTATGTGTTAAATTATATCCAGCACAAACACCGGTATGGGGTATTTTCTTTGCAATTGGTATTAATTTTGTATTTTTGATTCCATTAACAGCTATTTATGCAGCTACTGGTTTTTCATTTGGTTTAAACGTTTTGGTTCAATTGATTGTTGGATTTGCACTTCCAGGTAATGGTCTTGCTTTGATGCTTATTAAAGCTTTTGGCTATAATATTAATGGTCAAGCACAGAATTATATTTCTGATCAAAAAATGGGTTTTTATGTTAAAGTACCACCAAGAGCTATGTTTAGATGTCAAATGTTATCAGTTTTTATTTCATCATTTGTTGGTTTAGGAGTTTTGAATTTTCAAATTAAAAATATTCCAAATTATTGTTCACCAACAAATACTCAAAAATTCACTTGTCCAAATTCAACTGTATTTTATAATGCTTCAATATTATGGGGTGTAATTGGACCTAGAAAAGTATTTGGTGGATTATATCCTGTTTTACAATGGTGTTTCTTAATTGGATTCCTTTTAGCTTTCCCATGTATTGCTTTTAAAGTTTATGCACCAAAAAAATATACCAAATATTTTCAACCAACTTTAGTTATTGGAGGTTTCTTATATTTTGCTCCATATAATTTATCATTTTATACTATGGGTGTTTATTTCTCAATTTTCTTTATGTGGTACTTGAAATCAAGATATAGTGCATGGTGGCAGAAATATAATTACTTATTATCAAGTGGAATGGATAGTGGTGTTGCTTTCTCAGCTATCATTATTTTCTTTGCTGTTCAATATAAAGAATACGCTTTAAATTGGTGGGGAAATACAGTTACTTGGAATGGTATAGAAGGTTTAGGTGGTGTAGGTAGATTAAATGCTACTTTAGCTCAAGATGGTTATTTTGGATTAAGACCAAGTCAATATCCATAGATTATAATTTTCTTCTCATTATTATGTTTAATAGTTTAGAATTAAGTAGACCTTAGTTGAACAATTTAATAATTTATATTCAGAAATATGAAACCTCTTTAATTTGTAAAAATCTTGTCAAATCTGAATGAATTCATAATTTTGATTTGTATTACCTTCAAATTTAGCTCATTCCAAGTAGAACAATTTAGCTCATTCAAAATAAAATCCTACAAATTAATCATTAAAATATTGAAAAACCATCTTTTATTAAAAACACTATTATACATGAAAATAACTCATACCCTATAACTTATAGCTTTACATCTAGCTCATACTTGAGTAGGCAACATTCCGAATCTCTTTTTTAAAGTAACTCTTTGTCTTGAATATTTGTCATCTGGACTAAATCTTGCTGGATGTGCAGAATCTGTGATTTTTCCTTCCTCTGTTATCTTTTTCAATGTATATATTCTTTTCCCTTCGTTGTCTAACGTGTACATTAAATGCATGATGTAATGTTGTAATTTATTTTTGGTATTGTATAGTTGTTAGATGATTATTGATCTTATGCTCTTGTGATGAGATTTCTAAATTTTTCAGACTTCGTAAATTTCAACTAACACACGCTACCAAGCACAACAACTGTTGTATTTATTTGTAGGACATTGGTCCAGCCTCTGATATTGCAAACTATCTCTGCCTTAGATTCATTTCTTCGCAAAATACAACTTTAAGCTATTTCAACATGCCAAAATGTTTAGTTCTTGACAACGACCGAGTGTTTCGTAGAAGATTTCCCGAGAGTGTCAAATATATTAAATTTCTGCAACACAAATCGTTTGCGACAATCAAAAATATTAAAAAAATTTCAATTTTCGTCTTTATCGTAGAACTATAACTCTGATCAGCTACTTCAACTTGAGCAATGGTCACCATAAATCATTTCAATAAAAATGTGTCGGCTCACAAGCAGAGCATATACAAGAATCTATGCACAAATTTAATACGTCACGAATACATTATGACTACACAAGCAAAAGCAAGACAAGCACAACCTCACATAGAAAAATTTATAAGTAAGGCTTTACTAGAAACCAAAGAATTAAAAGATCTAAAAATAGGTGAACAATTGAATAAAATCAAATCATTAGAATATTTACAACCATCTGATAAACAAGAAATAGGATTAAAATTGATAAAAGAATTAAAATCAAGATACACAAATAGAAATCATGGTTTTACAAGAATTATTAAATTAGAACCAAGATTAGGAGAAGATAAAGCTCCAATGAGTATTATAGAGTTAGTGGATTCCAAATACCAATTTAAATTATGGTACACAGCCAAAACCGTTGCAAAATTACAATTACAGAACATACCATTGGACGATATAACTAAGTTAAATATTAACAAATTGATACAAGGTCAAGAAAATGGAAAAGAGGAATTTGACAAAGTTGTTGAGATATGTAAAAAAGAATTTTTTAAAGATGGCGTAACTGATATACTAGATTCTGATGTTGAAAGACTGTTGAAAAGTAGACCTAATATGGAAAGACATACAGGATATTTGAAAAACAAATTATTGATATCGAAAAAATTTAAAACAAAACCTAGACCTAATGAAAATGCATCTGTCATACCTGAATCACCATTCCTTAAGTCAGCATCAGCTTAAAAAAATTTGTGTATAGTTCGATGTAATGTATTGATTCTTGTATATATTAAGAGATTAAAAAAATTCATTTTTACCGCTCTCGCGTAATAGTTTTACGATTTTATTTATCACTAAACTATCAAAACTTCAAGAAACAGCATTTCCATCCATGTGGTTCTCAAAATCTAATTTCCCAGTAGATAAAAAATGTGCATTGATTATAGGAGGATCTCAGGGAGTTGGAGTCGATTTGGCTGAAAAATTATATAAACAAAATTGTTCAATCATATTAGTTGCAAGAAATAAATTGAATTTACAAAAACAAGTTGATTTCATATCAAACCTCACTGTTAACGAAAACCATACCGCGACCGTTACTTCTATACCGTGCGATGTATCAAATTATGACAACTGCGTCACCTTGTGGAAGGAAATTACAACCAGAGGGTATGATCCTACAATAATATTTTGTTGTGCTGGATCAAGTATACCAAAATTATTTCAGGATTTAACACCACAAGACTTACAACTGGGGATAAACATAAATTACAATACTGCTTTGAATGTGATTCACTCGGGTTTCAAACATATTCAACAATCCAATCCACAACACCAATCCCCACAGAATTGGTCCAACAGACATATAATATTATTCAGTTCAGTTGTTTCATTTTTCCCATTCATAGGGTATGGACAATATGGACCTATGAAATCAGCAATAACATCATTATCACTTGTATTAAGACAAGAGCTAAAACCATATAATTTTCGAGTTTCGTGTGTGTTTCCTGGTAATTTTCAAAGTGAAGGTTATGAAGAAGAACAAAAGACAAAGCCAGAAATAACAAAGAAAATTGAAGGTCCAAGTAAACCTATAAGTGGTTCAGAATGTGCAGAGATAATAATTGATCAATTATCCAAAGGTTACGATACAATAACTACTGATTTCATAGGCTGGGTTTTAGGATGTAGTGTATTGGGAATGTTACCTAGACAATGGTCAATTTTTCAAGTTCCAATGAGTTTTATATTCCTGATAATTGCACCTATATTGAATTGGCTGATTAACAATGATATAGCTAAATCTTTCAAACAAAATTGAATCTGATGGGATTGGTAAACAATAATACTTTCAATTATTTCTTATTTACAAATTGCTCTGCTAATCTATCTGTCAATTTATTAGCTTCTTCATCAATAGTTAATCCTAATTTATACCAATTTATACTATATATCCAATTAACCATTTTTATAATCTCTTCATTCCATATGTCTTTGCAAGTTTCTTGAAAATTTGGTCTTTCATAGGTTGTTATTTGATTATTGGGTATTTCTAAATTCTTATAATATGTATCTGTTAAAATTTTGTTTTGTATTATTGAATTTGATTGTTTCAAGTGTTGGGATATGAACTTTGCATTATTAACAAATAATTGTCCAGTATAGTAAGTTAAAGCTGAAGTCAACAATACACCTCCCAAAAATCCATGTATTCTTCCGCCCATTGTTGTAAGCTATTTGTTTTGATGGTAGAATTGAATTAATAACTACTGGTGGACTAGAAAAATTAACTATTGTTGTAATTTCAAAGTGCACAGAAATTAACTATGAGCGTCTGTTGGTAGAAAAAAAAAACGCAAATAATTAAGTATGAAAGAAGCAAAACTTTCTTTATTTACAAGTTACTTAGGATATATACATTTTCTATTCTCTAATATCTTCAATATCTGTGGCTGCTTGTTTCAAATGTGTACTTATAGCATTATTCAAAAATGGTATTACTTCAATCTTGTAAAGTTCACGAGATTGTCCAGATTCTCTTAATTCATTAACTTGTGCTATAGCTTCTTCAACATCATATAAAAAGAATGGTAATTGTTCCATTGGACCATTCAATGGTGTTTTGAAATCCAGATCTGGGTTGAGTTGTAAATATCTCCCCAATTTTAATTTACTTGTATATTCTACTCCTTTTATGAAATTTACATCAATATCATCTTTTAAAGTATCAATATCTAGTTCTGGTTCAATTCCAAAAAATGCATATTGTAATCTTAATAATTTTGAGTCCATCTCTCCAATTTCTTCGGAATCACATGTTATATATTTATTTTCAAACTCTTTCAAGTATTCATTTTTTTCATTTTCAACTTGTGGACTAGCTTGAGATCTTTCAAAAGCAATATGTCTTTCCAAAAGTACTTGTTTTATTCTCTTTTGACTCTTGATTAATTTATTATCTACTGAATTAAATTGTCTAAAATCAGCCATACCAATACTTTCTCCTAATCTAACTTCTCTAGCTAGAATATTCCTCTCTTTCAATATTAAATACCATAATCTATGTAAATCTTCAAATGATTTGGAACGTAATTCAGCACTGGTCCATTCTCTAGAGTCTAAATCTAGTTCTTCTGATTCTCTTATTGGTGATGTGGTTTTATTACCTTGGGGAAAAAATTGCCATAATGGATGATCTGGTGATACTTCGAAGTTATTGGCAGTTGGAGTTATTGGAGGTCTTAGTTTTATTGATTCGAGGTTTGTAAACTTTAATGGTTTGCTCCGAGCGAGTATTCGCGAGCTCTTCAGCAAATTTCTGATAAAACTGTGTGGAACCATACTGCTAAATTAAACTTGGTTCTTGGTGTAAAAAAAAAATTTCAAACTTATTTTTCACTTGGTTTGTTTCAACAAAGATAAGTTCAAAACAAAAGATATTCTACAAATTCTTCCTCACCACATTCAAAACTAGAATCATAATCTATTAAATGTCAACTGTACAAACAAACCACGAACAACAGGAGGAGCCACTTGATTTAGTGCGTTATCAACTAGATGAATATATAATTGTGAAGTTAAGAGGAGCACGAGAATTAAAAGGTAAACTACAAGGTTATGATAGTCATTGTAATATGGTATTAAGTGATGCAGTAGAAACTATTTTCCCAGAACAAGACAGCGACGAAACAATTACAAAGAAAACAGATATGGTGTTTGTAAGAGGTGACTCGGTAATATTGATTAGTCCCGTCATATGATATTTATAAATACAAAAGTACCACCCTATCAACTTTCCATTATCACATCAACCTCATCAGATGATTTAGATTCTTCCAAGATTTGTTTGAATCCCATTATCAAATCTGCATTTGAATTCCAACTTAAAATAGTTTTTTCATTTTCATTATTTAAAACCTCAATATCTTCGATTGTTTTCGAGATTAAGTCTTCATAATTGTCAATACTTAATGTTTCCGAGGTATTAAACATGGTTGATTTTGATAGCTTATAAAGTATATTGTCATCACCTAGTTGATCGAATATTTTAGAATTTTGCATATTTTCTTCAATTTCTTTGGCAAATTTGTCCACATTGAATCCAGGTAAAATTGATAATTCTTCTTTCAATAATTTTTTGTTCAAAACAAAGGATCTATAATCTACTTGCAGCAATTCTTTTTCTTTTTCTTCTTCTGTTTTGACCTTTTCTAAATTTTTGATTATTGATGGGTGCATCAATCTTGCTTTAGATTTATCTATATTTTGTTCAAAACTCGAAATTAAATTTGAAATTTGATCCATAAGTGGTTTTTCAATTGTGTTAATCCTACTTAGTTTTTCCTTAAGGTGGTCATTTTGATCAATAATTGTTTTTAATTCTGCCTTCATTTCTGCTAATATATCTGGTTTCATATCACTCTCGATTTTTGCAAGAGTAAGTAGTTTGTCAACTTGATTTGCAACTGTTAGTTCGAGTTTGGCATTTTCAATTTGAAATTTATGGAATCTAAGTTTGGTCAGCTCGGATATTTTTGATGATAGTTCAGCTTCTGATTCATTGTTTTGTATTAAATCTTGTGATAAAATGGAGTTTAACAATAAACATTCAACTCTATGTTTTAGTAAGTCCGATAATATTTTATCGTAATACTTGACATGATTATTGACGGACTGTTCTATTAGTCTCGACTGCCTGGCATTTATTGACATCTATAGGATGAACTAAGTTGTAGTTGTAATTTTATTTAATCTTGAGTGTTGCAATTAACCAGACTAAAGGCTAATATTTTTTTGTGTTAAATCCAACTCAATTGAATCATCAACTTCAAAACAGTCATTAGTATAGCAGTTCATACTATGCAGAATGAACTTTTGGATCAAGTACAAGATGCATCAACTTATATCACATACATAAACACCCTCACTTCACCAGATCAAGAAATAGATAGGTTTCTTGAACAAATAAAATCGTTAAGATCCTGTATAAATCCAACCTTGCAATATTGTTCACTTCAAAATTTCCTAAATGCTTTGCTTGTATTAACTTATCCTGGTCTAATATCCTATGAAATAATAACAATAACTTTAAACATACTACTAGATAATGACGATAAAATTGACTCGAACTTAAAAGAGGAATTGCCAATTTTGAACGAAATATCATTATTGAAGACAGCACAAGATATACAGCAAGAATCAACATTTAAGGCTCAGTCGTTAGGATTTCATTCAATTTCCAATTTATCATCAAATAATGAGATCAAAACAAATTTTATCAAGTCCAAGATATTGCAGTTGAGTAAATTTCACAATGATATCAATGAATTGAGTGGATTGTTCAACGATAGTAATCAAGAATTAAAGGACTGGCAGAAATATATTGTAGAACCTTATGGATTTTATTGGACACACTATGGAAAGTTATACCCGAATGAAGCCATCTCGTTCAACCTGTACCTACTTTTAGGATCTTTAGAAGAAAAATTTAATGTATTCATAAATCCTATTGACAGAAATCAAATACAAACTTTGGAACAGTGGTTGAAAAGCACCGCAATTCCATTATTATCATACTACGATGAAAACCTCGAGCCGTTGCAAAATTGGATGTTTCATCAAGCTCATGAAGGATCAAATTTGAGGAAATATGGTATTTGGAATATTTGCATTAGATTGATGTCAGAGAATTTTGATAACTCCAAATTAAAGTCAGTGATTAGAGAATATTTAGCATCTTGCTATTATTATGCTTTAACTGAAGATCTGAATGTGTCATCGATGGAATTAACAAAAACTTATGATACTATATTGGCAACATTAAACGTGATTGGATTTAATAAAGACTCACAATCATCATCAACCCCACCACTGATAAAATTTGAAGACATTCAAAATTATGAGACTTTCGAAGAGTTTCTATCGAAAAATAATCTCCTATCACCACTATTTGAACCTAGTCAAATCTATTTCTTATATGACGCAATAACCAGTTGTCAAAAGTTATATCCAATTAATAAATTAACTTTAAAACAATATTTGTTATACAAGTTTGGGATAAATGATAACGATGTACAGAGAGAAATAAGCAAAATAACCAGTAACATAACTTTAACCAATTGGGAGCAATTAGTCAATCTGGTCGAGTTGTTTAAGTCTGAGTTCATTCCTAGTTCAAAGTCATCCTCATTTGATTGCATTTTGCTAGAGCGACTACTCATAGCAAACTTATTCGAACCAATAAATCAATTGATTGAAAACAAAAAGATTAATATTTCCTCGAAAGAGATATTTGATATCACATTAGAAAAACTTTGGGATTCCATTGATCAAGCAACCAATTTGAATGACAAAATTGGACATCTACATCATGCTAAACTATGTGTTGATATAATTGATAATTTGAATCAAGATTTAGGCAAAGAACAACGAGAAGAAATTATTAAATTGAAACGTTTATTTAAAGCTATGCACTCAATGAAAAATTTTAAAATTGTTGTTGAAAAAAATAGGCCATTTACTCCAAAGCAATTGTTACAGTATTCTGGTAATCTTGAAGATGACAAAAATTGTATGAAATTGATCAACATAATATTGGAGCAGAACCCAAAATCATATTTAGCCTTTGAAAAGCTATTTAGAATTTTACATGATTTATTATTCTATTTCAACAACCAAAATCAACAGGATGAGGGTGAAGAAGGATCAGGATTTTTTTTCAATAAATTAAAAACAGCATGCATTGAAAGCTCGTTGGTTGACAACAATTTTCAATTCGCTTACAATCAGAGTCTTGAACTATTCGAACATTTTAAAGAGACCAATAAACAAAAACAATTCGAAAATTTTTGGTTAACTTTTTATCAAGTTGGAAAGTTTGTCTCACCAGATTGGTTTGAATCGGATAATGAGTTGGAGAAGTTAGAGATCCTAATAAAGCAGCGGGAAATTTTGTCTTTAACTATGCTGGAGTTGAATTGTGGTGAGAATATTAAAATTGTTTTGGATCAATGGTCCAATGTGAATAAACAAATAGAGAATCAAAATTATAGCAAGAAGTTAGAAGATATAAAGACTTTCAAGCAAGATCAAAATAACAACGACATAGGTTATAATCTTCAACAACCAATGAATAATTTAGCTAAAGAAATTATTAATGATGCTGCTAGTACCACTAACAATGCAAGTGAAAAAATTTCGAATTTGTTTGTTTCAGGTTTAGGTTGGGCTATCGGTGCTAAAAAGTAGTAATAAAGGAGTAGCATTTGGCCGAATTTCAATAATTTCATACCCAGTAAATCTCTGACCTGCGTTTTTTGAAATTTTTTTTTGGCAGTAACATAAAAAACAAAAACGATACGCGATCGATCTCACACACTTTATCTTATCATTATATACTCGAAGAATATAAATTTATACACCCAGTATTGCAGATCAACATACGTCTAAGAAAGCAAAAAAGCTCTCATAAAGCAAGTGACTGAAGAAAAGCTAATGAGATAAAAATTCACAAACAAATCACAAATTTTTAAAGTTAATGAAAAATACAAAAAGATCTATAGTAGACATCACCAAATATATATCAAACAATATAAATTCATCACATAACTTCACCAATACATTCAATAGAGCACTACATATAACTCCGAAGAAATCAAGTTTGCATATGAATGGCGTGAAAGTCGTCACAGGTAACGCACTTAACAAGAAATTGGCTGTACTAGATGGAATCGACTTTAGTGATTCATTTGGAGAGGAACAAGAACCAGAATTAGAGAGTGAACTAGATGTTTTTGAAAGTATAGATGAAAATGATATTTGTAAATTGTTGGATAAAACAAAAAAGAATGATGCACAACCGGCAGGATCTGTAAAACAAGATGAAAACCATAAATTACCATATAATGAACTCAATGACTCTTTTACGTTCACTAGTTCAATAAATTTGGATTTGGAAAAACCTTTAGAAAAGCGTGAAAGTACAGAGGTCCAGAAGAAGATACAAATTGGCGATACTTCAATTAAAAATAAAACATGTTCCAACTTAATCGAAGATCTACATGAGTCTTTTGAATTTAGTGATCATACGTCAAGTTTAAATGCTAAACAGGTAAAACAGCCATCACCAGAGTTTCTTTTTTCAGATGATGATGTGGAAATAATTCATACAGTACAAAAATCACATACCAGAAAAGAGTCATCAGATTTTGGGAGCGATGTTGAATTGGTAAATCATACAATGCTAAATTCACATAACAGAAACGAGTCATCAGATTTTGGGAGTGATGTTGAATTGGTAAATCATACAATGCTAAATTCACATAACAGAAATGAGTCATCAGATTTTGGGAGCGATGTTGAATTAGTAAATCATACAGTACAGAAATCTCATACTAAAGACGAATCATTTGATTTTGGAAGCGATGATGACTTAGTAGATTTAGTTTTAGAAAACTTAAATACACCAGCTAAAAAACGACCAGCGTCATCCCAACAACAACCCACGCCTATTATAAAACGTCACCATTCTCCAACACGAAGCTCAACACTCACATCTTCGGACATAATAAAGATAGGTATGAATTCAAGTATTGAACTATCGGAACAAGTTATAGCTCCCCCTAGAAGAAGCCTAGCAAAAATTCCAACTCAATCATCTCCTACTACGCCATTAGAACCGTTGACATCAAATAATCCCGTCCTGCCTGCTCACAATTCTCCATCGAAAATCATTGATTTGAGAAAAAAATTCAACATACCCACAGTTCCAGCGTCAACTAGAAACTACTCAACTAACTCTGCCATAGCTTCAGCGGCGCTTACGTCAACTTCAAAATCAAGTAAACCACAACTGAATCATACTTTACTACTAGCTACTCAAAGACCAAACATAGAATCTTCAAACTTACCTGATTCCAAACCCCAAAGTGGGAAAATAGTGCAACCGATTATTTTATCAAAAGAACAAGAAGCAGTGCTACAACAAGTTTTGAAAGGTGTATCATTATTTTATACAGGTTCTGCAGGTACAGGTAAATCAGTATTATTAAGATCCATAATCAAAGCTTTAAGAGACAAACATGGGGGTGGAGTTGCTGTTACTGCTTCAACTGGTTTGGCAGCATGTAACATCGGTGGAACTACCTTGCATAGATTTGGCGGTATTGGGTTAGGTCAAGCTAGTGTAAAAAACTTGGTAAAAAAGATAAAACGTAATCAAAAAGCAGTTAAAAGGTGGCAAGACACTAAAGTTTTGATTATAGATGAAATATCTATGGTTGATGGAATTTTGTTGGATAAATTGAGTGAGATTGCACAAAAGATTAGAGATAATACACTACCTTTTGGTGGAATTCAATTAGTTGCATGTGGTGATTTCTATCAATTACCTCCAGTTGTTAAAAATGATCAAAAAGTGGAAAAAGATATTGAAGTACTTTTTTCATTTGAGTGTGATGCTTGGAAAGAAACGATCCAACAAACTATTATCTTGAAAGAGATTTTCAGACAAAAAGGTGATCAAACTTTTATTGATATGTTGAATGAAATGAGGGATGGCAAACTATCTGAAAGAACCATTTCTGAATTCCAAAGATTATCAAGACCACTACCTTGCCCTGATGGTATCGTGCCTGCTGAGTTGTATGCCACTAGAGCTGAAGTTGAACTGGCTAATAAAAGGCGTTTGAACGCATTAAAGGGTCAAGCAATTCATTATCGAGCTAAGGATTCGGGAATTTTACCAGAGCCTGATAAGAGTCGTTTATTACAAAATTTCTTAGCTCCATTAGACTTATATTTAAAAGTAGATGCCCAAGTCATGTGTATAAAGAATTTTGATGAAACACTAGTTAATGGTTCATTAGGTCAAGTGGTTGATTTTATGGATAGAGATACATATATGAAAGCTTATGGTCCAACTGAGGAAGAAAATGTGATGGATGATGAAATGTTGCGTGATTTTGTTTTCAATGAACCTGCAACAGAGCCTGCAGAACCTGCACCTTCAACTTCAAAAATTATAGCATCTAAATCATTGTCGCAGCAAAACTTATCACCCGAGGAACAAACTCTGTTGGAAAGGAAAAAGGAGTTGAATGATGATTTAATGGGTGATTTCAAAAACAAAAAATATCCATTGGTTAAGTTTTCCTCACCTGACGGAGTTAATAGTAGAACTGTTTTAGTTGAACCCGAAAATTGGACTGTTGAGGATGAAGAGGGTAAGGTGTTAGTGTCTAGAGTTCAATTTCCTTTAATGCTTGCTTGGTCATTATCTATTCATAAATCTCAAGGTCAAACTTTGAGCAGAGTTAAAGTTGATTTAAAAAGAGTATTTGAAAATGGTCAATCCTATGTTGCATTATCTAGAGCTACTTCAAGAGAAGGATTACAAGTTTTGAACTTCTTGGAAAGTAAAGTTACGTCAAATCCAAAAGTTATAAAATTTTACAAATCGTTACAAAGTGTTTATGGAAATAAAAATTCTGAATATGAATAAAGTTTCAAATTGTTTTAAATAATGCTGTAATGTTTCATTTCCGTAGAAATAGAAAATTTTTAAATTATTGTATAAATGCTATAAAATGCAAATTTAAATTGAATTTCTTCTAAATAATATTTTTTTTTCACCAAATTCTACAATTTTATCTTTTTCTACAAATCCTGCAATTCTAGGTAATTGATTTTTATTTTCCCATTCTGTAAACAATTTATCAGCATAACCTAAACCAACTTGATAAATTTCATCAAATTTACCAAAATCTAATGTAGCATAGTTATCAATTGGTGGTCTAAGATAATAAACACCAGGAGCTCTTTTAGCTTCTTCTAAAGCATTTACACTAGCAACATAAGCTAATCTCATTTGAATATCCATCATATTTGGAATATTTGGATGTTTTGAAAATGGATTCCATCGATTGAATAATACCCAAAATCCACTCAAAGTATCGCCATAATTCATTGGAGTTCGATCATCTGCTGATCCAACATCGACTGCAATAATGTGTTTTGCCCCACGTCTTTTCATTTCCATAACTGGTAAATTATCTAAGTAACCTCCATCTAATAACATACAACCTTTAAATGCAATTGGAGGTAATAAACCAGCAAGTGACATTGAAGCCCGTATAAATCTCCATGCATATCCTGATTCATGTATATCCATAGTTGAGTTTGTAATGTTAGTAGAATTACAAAAATATTTAATCCAAAAATCTTCAATTTCAACAAATCCAAATACTTTCCAAATACCTCTATTAAACTCATATCCAGTGATGTATGAAGTTACAGGATATGTTAAGTCAAATAACATTCTCCAAAGTGATGCAACTCTTTTTGAAAATTTTTTAGCTCTACCATAAATTGAAACAATATTATAATCCTTAGCATATAACCCACCAACAAATGATCCAATGGAAGTTCCACCAATTAAATCGACTGGTATACCATGTCTTTCTAACGCAGTAACAACTCCAACGTGTGCAATACCTCTTGAACCACCACCACCTAAAACCAACCCTACTGCTTCATTAGACAAAATTCTTGCTAATCTCATAAAATCATTTCGATGTGATTTTACTGCTATCTTTTTTTGTTGATCTCTCGATCTCCAACTAAAAGCTTTATTTGTAGCATCTTCGAATTTTGTTATAATAGCTTTATTTTGAGAAAATTTAGCTGCTAAATCACTTATAAATGATTTTTTACTTGGCCCCATCGTATCATTATTTCTTTCTATATACAATTGGATATGATGATGACCTTGTACCCAGACTCTGTTTTTTAACCATTGACTTGTTGATCCCGATATAACGAATTTTTCTTGATGAATAAGACAAAGATCAGTTCTTGCTGTGGTTTTCATTTTAATCAAAAGTTGTTCATAATCACCAATCGATGCTGCTGTTTCTTCATCATCTGCATCAGCTAACAATAGTATGCAATCTCCTTGTGCTATACATGTTGAGGTCCAATTAGACTGGACCGGCGTATCACAAATATATACAACAGTTTCATATTCTTCTTCTAAATATGCAAAGTAGCCTGATAATTTAAGTCTTGCTAATCCTTCATCAAATGCATGTCTACCTAAATGAGTCAAAGTTAAAGCTTGATCTAAAGCTATAACGTTTCTTCCAATATTTTTCAAAGCATGAACTAATTTTTCAGCAAATTCTCGTACAGGTAAACCCGAAACAGTAGGTAGAATAGTGATTGTTTTATAATCTGCTGATATAAAATTTTCACTACTTGTGCTAGTGATAAAATTATGAGATGATTGATTAATTGATTTTTCAGATGATAATACTTTTGATGCAACTAATCTTGAAACTTTAACCATTATAGATGGGTTTTGAAACGATAACATTTCAAATAAAGTTCTTGGAATCCTAGCAGTTTCAGAATCTCTAACTGCAATCAATGAGTTTGATCTTCTTGAAGCTGTCAAAACTTCTACTTCTCCAATGGATTCACCGTGACCGTATTCTCCCAAGACTTCTAAATCATCTTTATCTGAGTTCTTTTTCTTACTTCGTCTAACTACTCTGAATCTACCACTTAATACTACGTGAAACCCATTAGCCAAATCCCCTTGCGAACATAATACATTTCCCGCTGGTATATGACACCATTCCAAAGCATAATCAATAGTCAAAATTTGTTTTGATAAAAGCCTTTTCAATTTTATAGCAACTGGCAATTGAAGGAAATAATATTTATCCAATAATTGATTATAATCATTTTTGGCAATGAATGCTACAACAGCTCCAGTTTTTTTTGGAGTTTTGATAGATACCAAGGATCTAAACCCAACCACACATGATAAATATCCAGCTACTCCACCTTCATTTACTGTATAAACATATTTTGAAGTTGTTGATTGTGAATACACTTCTGAATGTTTGTAGTGTACTTCCAAGGAACCATCAATGACATAATATAACCCACATTTAACAGAATTTTGTTGAACTACAGTTGTATCAGGCTCGATGTATTTCAAATCTAATACTTTGGCGAATGCATCTTTGATATTCATTTCAGTTAAAGGATTTTTACGTCTGAATTGTGGTTTCAAGTACGGTGATTGATTATTAGTTGGTGATGCAAGTTTGTTCTTTAACTTGGACACATTTATTGTATTCATAAGATTATCATCATCATCAAACTTGAAAACATTATGGTAGTTACCATTTAATTTTGGGCTCTGAGCCAAATTTGCCACGTTATTCAAACCAACAATTGAACTATTAGCTGATGAACTTAAACTTTGAAATTGTGCAGCCTCTTGAAAATAATTCCAATCATTTATACCTACAAATTTGAAAATGTTTTCTATTATTGCAATACGTAATGAATTATCCTCGGTTTCTTCTATATTGTCAGTAAAGTTTATTCTTTTACCATCTTCCATAAATATTGATGATACTGACTTGTGTAATTTTTGATTTGGATCGTCACGAGATATGGGTACGGAAGATAATAAATCTCCAGGGTTGTTACTTTTAACTTTTGAATTTAATAATACATATCTTGAAGATGCTCTTTCTAAAGGATTACCTCTATAATGTTTCACAATTCTTTTTGAACTTTCACCACCTTGATTTAATCTTTCAAGAAGTCCATCAATTAAATATTTTGGTAATCTTAAATTTGTAGTTTTATTTAATTCAGTTTCCAGTTTAAAAATTTCTCCAGTTAAGCCTAAATAATTATGAATAGTACTCATGGTGACTTTATATAATCTAGTTAAAACCATAGTTACAATATGTGATGTAGCTTTGGGGTATTTCATTTGAACTCTTTCAAATGCCGAATGAGGAATAATAGCAACGGTCATAGTATCCAAATGCTTTTTCCTTTTGGGTCTGATGATAATATCAGGATAACTATTTTCTTCAACTTCATCAACTATTTCCAACTTCTCTTTTGAATCCTCCCCACCAGCTTTATCATAGTAATCCAAATTTAATGCAACAATATTTTCTTCTTCAATTGTGGTGTCTGCATTATTTCTCATTGGTTTAAAAAGTTCCAATGTCGAAATTAAAGAACTCAATGGAGCTCCACTTTTAACTTCATTCAAAAGTCGATAATTCTGATCACCTAACTTAAATACATCATCATTTTCATGATAATCATCAGTTTCTGCGAAAAAAGTTTCACCGTTATCTTTTGTACTCTTCTTGGAGATTTTAGTATATACTTGAGCTGTACCTTCTACAACAACTGAAAATCCAATTTTTTCATCCAAACACAAAATTTCATCTCTTGACAATTTTTGAGTTGTCATACTCTTAGTCAATTCATGAAATACTGATTTATCCAAGTATCCAAATACTTTCAATGCCATTAAAAATTCATCAAGATAATTACTTGGTTTTGAATCTTTTCTTTTGTCAACATATAAACTTGATTGATTTTGTTTAAGGTTTTTATCAGAATGAGTTTTTGAATTTGGTGAGTTGGTTCTATTCTTCTTATTGTCTAAATCTCTTGAATATCCAGTAAGATATTTATATCTAATGACTAACAAACTGAATATCGCTAGTGAAAATGTGATAAGTAGTAATGATGATAAATGTAGATGGATTTCAAAATTCGTGGATAAGATTGATCTTGGAATATCTAACAAACCAGTCATGTCAATTAATTTTATAATTATAGAACTACCAGCATTATCAACATGTTCTTGACCCGGTGGTATATTAGTATCACTCATATCATATCTACTGGTGAAGACTATAATAATAAATTCAGATTTTGTGGAGACAAATATGACATATAACAAGAGTACAAATCGCGCGTTAAGCATTGTTCCTATTATCATTACGATTAAGCATAAGATTGAACCTACCAGAGATAAGATTCACAATGAAGGTTTTCATAGCATATAATATTTGGTTTGTCGCCTTCTTGAAGACAAAGATTGAAAAGGTTAGGTCTTTCATGCAAAATCAACTCTTGAGAATGACAGTCTCTTCGAGATTTTCTGATAGGTCTAGACCAAATTTTTATGATGTAGAATAAAAAACAAACAACTAAATTAGTATCATACAAAATGTCATCAACTAATTTGGGAAAGCAAACTAAAACAATGAGCTAAACTACAATATACCTTTTGGTGATAAGAGATTGACTCACGTTTTGACAGAGTTTTAAAGCGTGAATTTATGAATTAGTTTGCAAACGTTATTATTTTATTTCATAAGGTAAACAATTAAACCTAGCTAATATTCTCTCAAATCCATCCATTCCAGTAACTAAATGATTTAATTCAGGACCATAACTTATTCTCACATAATTGTACCAAATAACTTCTTCTAAATGACTTAAATTTTGAGGATTAATCAAGAAAAAAAATCCTGGAACAACTATCACTTTTTCATGTAAACATTCATGAAAAAATCCTAAACAATTACTTAATTTTCCTGGTAAATGTGAAAGGTTAAGCCAAAGATAAAATGTAGAATTTGGAATATTTTTTTCATTAAAATTAAAACCCATTTTAGATAATCTGCCAATAATATAATCTCTTTTCATTTTAAAATGCAATTGTAATGCTTTCATTTCACTCCTTACTTTTAATGGTTTTAAAAATTCTATAGCAGCATATTGGAAAGGAGCATTAGCTCCACCTTCCAAATATGATCCCACACTAGATAAGGCGTTTATGTATTCTGCAGGACCAACAATCCAACAAACTCTCCAACCAGGTAATCTAAATGCCTTTGTTAAACCATTCAAAATTAATACAGGATCACGATCAACATCTTCCACATATTCCGCAGAACTTATGGATGAACCAGTACATCCATCATCATAATAATAATATGAATAAAATTCGTCCATAATTAATAAACATTTTTCACGACACATGTCTTGTAATTGTTTTAAATGTTCAGGTTTCATACAATGTCCCGTGGGATTTCTAGGATTGGATGTTAATAAAGCACTAACACCTCTTGTCAATTCTTCCTTAATCATTTTAAGATGAACTTCATAATTATCTGATTCTTTCAATGGTACAGGAATTGGGGAAAAATTTTTAAATAATGATAACATTTCTGCATAAGCAGTATAATCTGGTAAAAAAAAAGATAAATAACAATCACTTATAATTGAAGCTATTCTAGTTAAGCCAGCTCTTCCACCTGGTACAATACAAACATTTTTATAAGTGTATTTACTTGATTTTTTTGTACGATATGTTTCATTATATAAATTTGCAACTGCTTCTCTTAATTCTTTTATACCTGCTGTTGGAGCATATTCTCTGGTAAATGTTGGTATAGGGATAGATTTGGGTCTTGGAAATGAACCTGGGATACTGTCACCTGCTTCAGGAGCTCCTTGACCTAAATTAGACCAATCTTTAACATCTTCTGAATTATAACCATATTCTTCTGCTCTTTCAGTTACCCAAAGCACCCCAGTAGATGACTTTTTAGAATTCATAGCTGGTTTATAAATATTTTCATTAAATTTTGGCTTTGGTAAAGGTATTGGTGAAGCTGCATTACCATGTTCAGATTTTGATAATTTATCAATAAGAGCTTGTCTATGACTTAAATTTTTTAAATTTGGAGTTGCATTAGCATTTCTACCGGGAATTGTTTGATAAGTTGATGTATTTTGTGAATGATTTAGTATATCTTGAAGATGTTGTGGTTGTGGGGATTTTATATTTCTATCATGTTGAATGTTCGATTGAGGATTTGGGGTAGAATTGGCACTTTGAATTGCTTCTAATAATGAAGATGCCGATCTTTTTAAAGCCGGAGGTAATGTAGATTCTAATCTTTCGAACTCTAAAACTGATTCTTGATCAGTATCTGATTCTTCATAATCATGACTGGACATTCTGAAATTTCACTTGGCGTGTATTTAGTATTACAAATTGTTTGAGTATTTTATACTTTAACTGCTATAATAACAATGTATGAACTCTATGAAAACCTAATATTGTAGCTTTGTTCTTTAGTTAAAATCCTAAATTTTTTATTTTGCTTTTCTATTCGATCAATTTTGTACCCGATCCAATTAAATATGGGGAATGAAAATTACTACACGACCATCGGTACTTCATAATAGTTACAAGTTATATTCAGCATGGTGAACTCAACAATAACGAACTCTTTAATGAGGTCAGTATGGAGATTTCTGCATTACTAGAAGTGTAAGTAATATAGTTATTTTTGTTTCTGTTTGTAAAATCAAACAAATATTCCAGACTAAACCAATACCGCCTAATAAGTGTTTTTTATATATGTAAGTATAGACACAAGAAAGGCACTAGAAAGGCATGATCAATACAATTAAGAGGAAGCTTCGAATGGTTGTAAAGCCTCTTATAAGCTGCGGTTGTTTTGGTTTAGAGTTAAAGGAGTATTGTTCATTATTTAATGATCTTTTGTTTTAAAGCCTAAAATTGTAACTCCGTATGGATATAAAATTGTTTATTAAAAAATTTCTAATCTAAGTAGTTAAAACTTAAACTAACACTTCATTGTGATTTGGAACTAAACGTAAGACCTTATACAATTCTATTGTAATTAATTGAGTCTATTAAAATTGATTATTTCAAAGCCAAATACTCAGCAGTAGCTCTAGTTTTGTTAGATTCTAACGATTTATTCTGAGAACAAGGATTTCTTTGACATTTTGTCAATTTATTTAGCAAATTTTTGGATCTTGTTTTGATCGTATCTATAGTTGAAGTTGTTGATTTGATTGAAATATTAGTTGATTCTATTTTCTTTATTTCTGACATGTTAATTATTTGGATTTATCTATCTGTAGTATAAGAATAGAGACAAAAAAAGGATAGACATTTATGATACTTCAAGCTTTATTTATACAATTGAAATTATACTTTGCTTTGATTAGTAATTACATTATTGCTCATGTGTTAATACCAAATAAAGTATGCTATAAGTTTTAAAAACAAATTCATACTTGTATTATTGTTTTGATGACTAATGTAAATGATTTGTTATAAAATTTAGTATAGAAATTTAGGTGGGGCTGTAACAGGTAGCGTAGTTATTATCGTAAATCCTAATTTGTACGTACATATCTAGTTTTGTGTAATAAAATAATTCGTAAATCCTATTTTTATCAATTAATGCACGTCCTAAAATATTATGACTAAATGACTAGATTTAATCAGTGATTTGAGGTTGAAGATTTGACAAATTTTCTAAACTTTGTTTAATAAAATGTATTGATGACTAAGAAAATAAATAAATAATACTTAGAAGAAGTAGATTTGTGTTAAAGTAAGTCGCATTTACATTTAAGTCAAAGTAGAACTAAAATTGAAATTAAAACTAGAAAATATTAAAATCAATATTAATATCAGAATTTATAGACTTTGCCTCATACATTCAAGTGAGCAACTAATCCAGTGAAAAACAAATTAAAATCGAAATTGATATCAAACAAACAAGTAACCCCATCTTTCACAATGAACGTTATAAGAGCATAATTAAACTGATAATAACGACCTACTTGCGTGTATAGATAATTATACAACTACTATCGCTGTGTATTTGCGATAATGGGAAATAAAGTTCTTGAATAAACATATAATATTATTTAATATATAAGAATCTTATAGATCTAAGTATACTTAGCCTATTGTTCTTTTTTTTGTTTTTATTATTCAATTTCTAAACAAATTTATAATTAAAAGAGACAGCCACATGGCAGCGCGCAGCATTTCACAAACAATTTTTTTTTCTCAATCATCAACATTTTTCCGTTCATTAGCAAATATATCTTCAACATTTTCTACAACAGGCTTGTTTGTATCTATCTTGAATAAATTGTTATTGTCATGGAATATTTCTTCATTTTGAAGTCTCAGACTATTCAAAACAATCTTATGAGCTTTCCTCACAGGATAAATCTTGAATAACTTATCCATAGATTCCAAAGGCAAGCCTTTGGTCTCAGGAAGAAGAAAATATACAAATGGAACAGATATCAAAGCAACTGAGGCAAAGAAGAAATAAATACCATATTCCATTGTTTGAATCATACTCTGTGTCCATCTAGCCATCACGAATATGGCGCACCAAGAAGCAGCTGCATTGATACTTTGCAAGAAGGTCCTTATGTTCTGATCATAGACCTCCAGACCAATATATTGAAAATTCGTCCATATTTAAGATAATCATTAATCTTTTCATTAGATGGTGAAAATTTAATAACAATAACCTGAAATTTTCATTGTAATATAGAAATTTCCATTGTTACTGTGGCAGGAAATTTCTGAAATTTCTAGCTGACGCAATATTTACGACAAGTGGACTTTTACCACTACACTTGAATAATCATTTCACATTCTTTATTCCTAAATATGTGTTATTTTTAATTCTATGTCTATTGCCCTTCTACTGTATCCTGGATCTTCCTTCTTGCAGACCATAGCTGGGTTATTGTCTTCTCTATATTTTATCTCTTTAACTTTAAAAGCTAATGATTGTAATGGCAAAAGCATTGCCAAAGGCGTTTTTCATGAAAAAGAAATAAACAAATAAAAAGAAATAACAATGTCTTTTTCAATGAGAAAACTTTCATATGAATAAGGAGGTAATTCCATATTTATCTAGTTTATAGTTTATGGAAAATCAGCCAACTATGTATATATTCACTCACGAATAAACACAACTTCGACCTTTATAAAACAGTGCAGTTCACAATAATGCCTACGATTAATATCTCACCTACCTAAGAACTGCTGCAATGATCTAATTAGTTTCTTAAAGAAACTGGTTTGTTTTACAGCATAAATCAAGCATCTAAGTTTACTTCATATGTACTAGCTACCTTCTCTTTTCTGCGTTTTAGTTGACCAAGCTACTGATTAATTATTTATATAAGTAGCATTTCCAGATATAGATGCTTTATTTTCATGGGATGCAAATTATGCATCTCAATGGTTTCAATTCAAAATCCCCCCTCATTAAAAATTTTAAATTTTTGTATATCAATGGTCTGGCTCCATTTTTTGGCTAAATAATTTTCTTGCCTTACCATGTCTTGAAAAGAAAGGCTTGAATCCTAATTTTTTTCAATAAACATTTTCAAGTTGATCGTGCCTGGCTCCTGCATATAATTGACTAGCTTATTATAATCTATTTACAAAATTAAAAAAAACATTAAATATGTACACGTATTATATTAAATCCATCTTCAACTCGAATCCTCAACTATTGCAACAATACTCAGGGTCACAATGTCCAAGGTGCACATGGGATTGGAAAATTTTAGCAACAAATTATCTACAAACTATTCAATATTTGTAAGGGAAGGAGACCCAGACCAAGATTTATTTATCAAATTTAATAATGAAGTATTGAACAATAAGGTTGTCGCTAAAAGATTAATAAATTTACCCACTGAAGAAAGAGTCACTAAATTGAAATACTGGCTCGAAATATTGAGTAGCATGAAACATCTTTACGATGAAAATTGTAATTTATTTGTTGATGTTGAAACTGTTAAAAATCATTTTGCAGATATAGTAGATAAAGAAGAAAAATTAACAATCACAGAGTCATTTGATGCTTTAACTGAATGTTTGGATATTGCTTATGATGAATGTACCACTTTACCCAAAGATGGTCCATTATGTGTCATAAAATCTCCCAAAGCAATATTGGATCACGCGTTGAAATCAAAATGTGTACTTTTAGATGAAGATTCAAAAGAATCTATTACTCCAGAACAAGTTGAAATAATTGAAAAATTTGAAAACATATATTTAAGTAAATCACAAGTTGTCAAGTTGATTTTTAGAATGGGAACACAGCGAGAAAGAAATATATGGGGATTGATTCGTATTTTATACTGTATGGTTGGATGTTATGATGCTAAAGAAGATGATTTATCAAAATATATGGATCATGTTAATGGTAGTTTAGGTTCAAGAGATTTAAAATATATACCATACATGAACCAAATATTTGAGTTATACGAACTTCATAGAGATTGTGATATGGAATCAACTCAATCAGGATTAGCTCAACCTGCATTCATTCAATTTGGTGCTTACGATTCAAATAAATTTCACTCACAAGCTGCCCAAATTCAAGTCAATCCTTTTCCAATCCTACAATCAAGGGTCCCTTTGATGCCCATCTCAAGTAACATCCAAACAACTTCCTTAAAAAGAAAAATAAGTGATTCCACCCTGTTTAATAAAAGACTCTTAATCGATTCAACAAATCCTAGAGCTCAGTCGAACACTCAATTAGTTCTCAACTTCGACAGATTTAGTTCAGTTATTTATCCGGTTGTGCAAATTGAGCATATGACTGCCGTTGAAGGTGCAACCAATACGGCAATGCATACAAAATCCGAATTATTGGAAGGACTTAGAGATGCTTTAAATGAACATGAGCAAAGTTTGAGAGATTTGTTCAAAAGATCAATTTCTCAAAAGAAGCAACTTTCTTAATAGGACCAAATTCATCTTGGTCATGCCTATGAAGTTGATTATCGTTGTTGTGAATTTAAGGTACTTCAAAACATTAGTAATGCTGAATTGTCAACTTTTCCCGACTAATTATATTCCTTCACTAGTTGAATTTCAGTGATTTCAACTAGCCATTTCAATCCTTATTTTAATTGTTTTCGGCGCTGGCGTGGTTTCGTAGCAAAATATTGTATATTTTTTTACTTCTTATTCTATTTTATAATTAACAAATGAATGGCTTTTTAGTATCTCTATAAATATTATCTATGTAAATGAGCTCTCCAACAGCTTTTCGACCTATATCTTGTATCATTAACGAGTAGAGAACATCCTTAAATACTTTTCTGTAAGTACTTGAGATTTTTACGCAGAAACTGTATTTCATTTGAACTTCATCACATGTCTACAAGATTTAATTTTTATTGCAATATCTTATACGATCTCAACACTATGATGATTATTTTATCTTCTATGAAAATTATTCTGTCTTCACAGATGAAACTTAAGTATCTTCACAATTTTAATCATTCATTAGAGGAAAACAGGTAACAAACATTTTAGTAGAGTGGGTTTTACTCTCATGATATTATTTGATAGGTGTAACCTCATTTTAATACCAAAGAAAATAAATGAAAAAACCGGCGACAATAACAATATGAAAAAAGGACCAAAGCGTTTCGTAGTTAAAATTGACCCAGACGTTTTAATTGATACTAATCATTAATTATATTAAGAGGTTGTAGAGATTGGAATCAATTCTTAATACGAATTTATGGGTAATTTTGTATTTATTAAGAAGAAGACTTAAGTTATTGGATTAAAAAATCACATTTGTTAGTTGAAGTTTCATTAACGAATCGAGCCTAGCGCGTTAACGACAATAATGTTGGCCAGAGTTTTAAATTTTCAGGTGTTTGTTCAACTATTGATGCAAAGAATATATTTTGTACAACACTTCAAAACCAGTAAAATTCATATAACATGAGCGAATTGACAATGATATCTAGCCAGAGAAGGCGAGCGATAAGAGCATTGCAACGTGAAACAAGATGTGGTCTTGTTGCATACATGGATATGATGGAGAGTAGATCATGTTCAACTTAAATGGATTTTATTATTTTGAAACGATTGTATGTATAAAAAGTGTCAAATCTAAAAGAGCAAAAGACGACAACAGTGTTGCAATGATTGCTTTTACTACAAATGTTTTGAGAAGATCAATAATTTTTCATTTATTAGATATAAAGCAGAGTTTTCTCTGCTTTTGCAATGGGCGCCGAGCATTAAAATCAAAGTCACGATAATATTAATCACGGGAATGAGTGTGAATAATAAGTATTAGGAAGAAGTGATTGATTGGATTAATGAAAGTCAGCAGTGAAATTTTCAAAAAAGAATTTGTTGCAACAATAACAGCATGATTCACGCCAATATATATTCTGAATTTATCATAATGATGTGAAATCTTGATTAGAAATGAATCTTTTAATTTCTTCAAATAATTTGTTTGTAGAAACACCAATTCTTGACGTTAAGTCATCTCGAGCAATTATACTCTCATTTTCCGTAAAGTTTTGGATTAAATCGTTAGTTCTATTTCTCAACTCTTGATTGATTTGCTCCACAGCAGCAATTAAAGTGCTTGGACAGCCTGTGCTAGCAGGAGCAATTGTTTCAAGATTGCTTCTTCTTGTCAAATCGACTTGATTTTGGTTGTTTAGTGATATGTTCAGCCCTACTCGTACTTTAACTTTTAATTTCGTTCCAGCTGGTACACGTGCTCTAGCTGCTACACGTGCTCTAGCTTCGCTTTCTTCATTAGCTACTCTTGTCCTTGTTGCTAAGTCACTTGCCTTTTTAGCGAACCATTTAGCCAGTGGTGTATCAGCTTCTGATTTTAATTCTATTGCTCGAGCTTCTAATACTCTAGATTCTGCTGTTCTGGCTTCTGCTAATGCTATTCTACCTTCTATAGCTCTTGCTTCTATGGCTCTAGCTTCTGCAGTTAATCTAGCTGGACGAGAGTAAGCAATTTCCAAAACTTTAGATAAACAATTGTATGCTGTAGTCATTAAGTTTTTATTATGGTTTAGCTCAGACATCAAATAATCTTTATCCAAATGAATGCCTTGATTAAAATCATAATCAGGCATTTTTGCCATAGTGCGCAACATCTTCTTCCAAAATAATAAACAGGATGTCCGTTTATTATATGTATATCCAAATATTTCCTTCAAAGCTGAATCAATTCCTAAAACTTCTGTATCAAATTGATCGAGTAGTTTTTTTATGTTTCCAGAATCATTAGGTTCACTTTGCAACGTATATAGTCCAATTAAATCTTCATTATATATACAATTTTCATTTTCCAACGAAGTTGGATCCAAGTCATCACATTGTCTATGATAATTGAATGAATTTAAATCAATAGTTTGACGGTCGTAGCAGTTGGCAAAAAAATTCTGTAAATAACCCAATGATAGATCGAATTGCTTTTTAGTTCCTTTAGGTCTATGAGCATATTTTGATTTAATATATTTCAAAGTTTCATTATCCAACTTGAATGGTTGGTCTATTTGAAAGTTTGGTTCATCAGACATGAATTGTAGTATATCTCTAATTTTTGCAACTGATTCTGTTCTCGTTGCAAGACTTTGCTGAAATAAAATTGACAAATTTCTTGGGTCTTTCAAGACTTCGGTCTCAAATTTTTGAATTATTGCTTTATGCTTTGGTGTAAAACCATCAGTATTACAAAGTAAATAACGGGTAATTAAGTTTTGCTGAAAAGGAATGTTGGGGGTAAGGATGTGTCTTGAAGTAAAATCTTCTTCAAGACGTGACATCTTGAATGATGCTTGTTATTTTCAGATATGTAAAGCTAATGTGTACTGAATTGTGATCTTGCAAATCAATTAATAAATGATACTTTCACTTGAATAGAATGAAAAGTTTGAGTTTATGCCAATATAAAAGTTGTTAATTAATAGATACATATGTGTATGAAATAATCATTTTGTTAATGTTTATACCTTGGTGGCCGAAGTAGTGTGAATTTTTAAAAACTTAAACTGGTAGTGTGGGTACTACCAGATTTTAGTTATGTGCGATTGTAACGGAAGAGCTGATGATGGGGACGGAATTCGAAATGAGTTTGGTCGATACATTTTGTCTCTCGCTCACAACCTTGCTTGGAATTTAACGGCAATACAAAATGGAAATAATTTTAACGTGTATTTGTAAAACGAAATTTCAAGTAATAAATCTTCATAGTCCTATAAAATTCATCAAACAACAGATGGACATACATGGAATGGATTGATTTCAAGTTAATCGAATCCTGCCAAATAAGAGAAGCTAAGAATAGTAACCGATTTTTCAATTAGCTGTATTAATAAACGATCATCGTTGGAGAAAAATCCCAAAATTGTTTTCAATCAAATTCATATTATAATTAGTACAAGCTTGGCTCGATTGAGAGCATGAATTCATCTTCCATACGTTCGGTTTGTTCTGCTAATAACACCCTAAATAATATCAAGCAACTTTTTTGTAAAGAAGGAGAAGAACCACTTTTTTTTCAGGTGGATCCATCAATCAATGACTTTACGGATATCAAACAATCAATTGAATCAAATGGCGGGATTTTGATTGAAAGATATTATGATGGAGCTTTTGTGATATCAGATTCAAAATCTAATGCGATTAGTAGTTATTACATTAATTGTTGCATCAAACACCAAAAATTGTTACCCTTGGAACTTTTCAGAAATCGCACAAGTACTTTATTGTTTGAATTAACTAAGCCGGACATCATAGATTGCTTATTAAGTATTAATGCGATACCAGAAGCTGACTCGAATGACGATAATAGAATGTCTGATGGAAATAATTGTATCGACGCATCTGATGTGTTTGATTTCTATGATGCTACAAAACATCGTATCATGAATTACGATGATCTTGAATTGATGGAACAATTGGTTGCTGAAAGCTATGTTTTACGTGAACTGGCTCTGTTTTTTGTATACTTGAGTGAAATAATATTCAAAGGCAAGTACACACACTGGTTTTTAGCTGATGTTTATGTAAATGCAATTGCTGCATCATTTGATGATATCAAAGTAGACGAAGGTAATGCATTGGATTACTCGTTGTCAGCTGATGCGGATTGGTCGGCTAAAGAGTTATATGTTGCTGCTGTTTATCTTAAAGAATATCTTTTAAGTGTGGGAGATAAATATAAAATTTCAGTTCGATTTGTTATTCAAAGAGACTTAGAAATCACTAAACTAGGTAATTATATTCTGATGGTTTTTGAGAAAAGAACTTTCATAAATGTTGTAACATTGTTGAAAAAAATGTTACAGGATTATACAAATATGGAAATATTTATTTCAAAAATCCAAGATTGCGAAAATGATGCAAGTTTGAAGGATCTTTCTCAAAATTACCAGAAATATCTCGATACTGCAGATTTTAAATTTAGATTTTTTTAATAAAAGTAAATCATGCTCAAATATCTATAAATTTACTGTATGTCAAGTCACATCAGATTTGGTTTTACACTTATTATTTTAATTCAATGAATTAAGTCCTATGGTATGTTGATAATACAGCTCTAGGATCCAGCGCTCCGTACATGTCTTTTCAGTGTATAAGATCGAATATATGAAATTAGAGTACTTACAATGTCATAGTGACAAACACGAAAAACTATAATTCTTTTCTTCCAAAAGGCTAGTAGCAATTTATTACGATAAACACTCGAGTTTACAAACTTATGGTCTTTGAAATCTCCAAAATCCTGCAATCAAAAACATCATCATTGCTAACTAAAACATTATCTCTGGGAGCTTTCATAAAAGACATATTTCGTGATTCAATGCATTTGAAATGTGAACAAAAATAAGAGCCAAAGTCACACTCTTCACGTATGACACTTTGTTGTTCCACAACTCCTTCTGTTTCATACCGAATCCCAGTCATTTCTGAGTCAGTGATTCTCAAATTTGTGTTGACAGACTCTTCAAAAACCAAACTTGACTGATCTATGTGTAAGATGGACTTGAATTCTTGCAAAATTGGCTGATCACAGCTTTTGCTCTGCTCAAATTCATTACGAATTTCTTGACTAGTCATAGTCTTATTGATCCTGTAGTAAGACAATTCGACTTCCTCAGCCCTTGATATAAATTCTGGAAAAAAGTCAACGGGTTGATTAATTACTTCTTTGATTTGATCTAACTTTACATCAGTTTTTGAACCAGAATATACCAACTTCACATCATTTGGTGCTTTCAAAGCAATAATTTTTTGGGTAATAACATTGCTCAGGTCCATAAACAATTCATTTTCCTTAGGTACATCTTCGATTTTCAAAGTGTTGTGATTGAAGTAGTTTTGAAAGACTACTTCTGGTTTATTTCTTTTAACCTTCTTTCTTTTAGGCATATGAAATGAATGACTTCAACTGTTTTGGTTACCAGATAATAAATGAAGGGATTTCTTATCTAGATTCTAAGAATTGAATCTGCGATTTCAATGATCTATTAAAGTTCATTTTGTGGTGGAGTTTGATGAAGTTATGAGAAATTATCATGGGATGATAGTAGTTTCAAATCTGTTACAAAATGCAAAATTATATTCAAAAATAAATTGTAAGGTATTATCGTAGTTTCAGAATTTTTCGTATTTGAGTCCCTTATTCAAGAAAAAAAATAATAATGCTTTACACTCTACTTTAATAAAATTCTTTAAGGCTTGCCCAGTACTATTAGTGATCTTTCCGAGGATTGGTCACTAACGTATGAATGATGATTACAGGGCGATTATAACTGATGAATCACCTAATAATCAAATAGTAATGAAGATCAACTAATAACGTAAAGTAATAAAGTTGAGCTTTGTAGGTTGTATATGTAGGTCTATGTATTCTATTTAATAATGTAAGATAGACTTGTAGGTTGATGATAAAGTTAAGTTGAAACTTAGTTGATACTTCGTTGTTACTTATTACTTTCACTTTCAAATCTAGTCCAGACGATTTCAGCAACTTTAAATATTAACTTGAATCCACAATAATCAAGATCCAAAACCGAGAGGCACTTGCATATCTTAAAACAGTTAGTATGGGTTTAGAATGAACATGATTAAGTTTGGAGAGGACTCTCCCATGTAGCTTGACCCTGCCAGTTGTGAAGTGTTACTGACATTGCTCCCAATAAACACAAGATTTGAAAGCCGTTTTTCCGTTGACTGCAACGCCTAGTAATGAAAAGAATAACTTGTTGTGGTGCAAGCTTGTTATAGTTAGACAAAACCAGGTCAACCATACTCAAAAAAATCAAAAAAATTCCAATCAAAAAAATTTTCAAAAAAAAATCCAAAAAAAAACAATATTTATTCAATCATATATCCAAATGTAAAAACATTAATTAACTAGACGTCTCCAATTAACCAATGAAAAAAAAAAAATTAAAAAAATTAAAAAAAAAATGATGTGGAAAACCCGAAGGTAGAAAAACCACACAAGTAAATACATACCTCATTAATCTGCATCTACCATTTCAACATCTTCGTCTTCGATTGAACCTTCTGATTGAACTTCAGGACCACTTGATACAACATGATTTGAACTGTTATAAATCCTTAGAAGTTTGTTAAAATAATCTTCTCTAATAACTTCTTTTGCTTCATCTAAATCAAATAAGACAGCATGAAACGGATCACAATCTTTAAAAGTAAAAGCAACTTTTTTAGCAATTGTATTTAATCCTACCATTTTATCAATTTTACCTCTTCTAGCCCATGTTTGTGAATAAGATTTGGTACTTAAAGGATATTCAGTATTCGATTGATTATATTTCTTAAGAAATTTAACATTGAAACTTCTATTATGATCGGGTGAAAGTCCAAGTTCAAGTAAATAATTGTTTGGTTTATTAGGATCTGCTTTTATGACTCTATAGGGACCAAAACAAAGATTAGATTGTTTAGTTGTTCTGAAAGATGTTGTAATTATATTTGCTTTTCTATTTATTAAAACTGAATCTCCTGTTTTTAAATTTAATGGTTGTCGATGTTTGTTATACTGTTTTTTCATTGAAGCTTGTGATTCTAATATGTTGTGAGGAATTAAAGTTTGATGAAGTTTTAACATATTTGCGAAATCAAATGTATAATCCGAATTATTTGGTAGCAGACTAATAGGAAAAGCTTGTCTTAATCTTGAATCAACATGAAGTGCTTTTGGAATATAACCTAAATCAGCTTCAAATGGCGTCATTTTTATAGCTTTATGAACATGAGCATTATAAGCATATTCAACAATAGGTAATTTCAATAACCAATCTTGATCATTTTTCTTAACAAAAGCACGTAATAATGCAATTAATGTTCTATTAGTACGTTCAGTTTGATCATCAGATTGTGGATGATAAACTGATGTAAAATGTAATTCAACTTTAAGTTCTCTGAAAAAATCCTGCCAAAAATGAGTTGCAAGTCTAACATCATTATCATGTATAATTTCATCTGGTAAACCATGAAGTCTAGATATTTCTTTAACAAATAATAGAGCACAACCTTGAGCAGTATTTGAATTTGATGTTGGAATAAAATGAGCACGCTTAGTAAAACTCTAGATATTTCTTTAACAAATAATAGAGCACAACCTTGAGCAGTATTTGAATTTGATGTTGGAATAAAATGAGCACGCTTAGTAAAACGATCAACAACAGCTAAAATGAAATCATAACCATCTTTTTCTGGAAATCCTCCGATAAAATCCACTGATATCAGTGACCATCTAGCATTATTTTTGGTAATGGTTGAAGTAATCCAAAGTTTGAATTATTTCTTGGTTTAATAGCTTGACAAATATTACAATGTCTAACAAATCTTTTAATTGAATTAAACATATTTGGCCAGTAATAAAACTTTACCATTTCTAAATAAGTAACTTCTGCTCCAGGATGTAAAGTTGTATCTGGTGAATGGTGTAAATCGATGACTTTGTAATTTAAGTTTGATGGAATCCATATTCTTTCAATTGGTTCGGCACGATAATCAAATCTTTTAAAATATAAAATACCATTTCTGTAATTAAATTTCTTAATTCTGTATTTGATTGAATTTGGTGGATCTAATTGATTTGAAAGATAATAATGAATTTCATGAGCTTGTTCATCTTGAGAATAACTTTCTTTAATTTCTTCAAGTATATCTTCACCTAATGGATGAGTTTCAATATGAGAAGTAGTAGTATTAGCAATTGTAAGACCTTCTGAATCATTTGCATCATAATCTGTATCTGATTTAACTAATTCAGTAAATTTTCTAGATAATGCATCAGCAATATTTGTGTTTCCTTTGATGTAATCAATAGTAATATCGAATTCTGATAATACATCTAGCCATCTTGATAACCTTGATGATGGTGGTTTTTTATTATTAATTAAATATTGTAGTGATTTATGGTCTGTTTTAATTACAATTGTTGAACCAAGCAAAAAATGTCTAAATCTAGTCAAAGTTTGTATGATTGCTAAAAGTTCCTTCTCTCTAATACTATAATTCCTTTGGTGTTTATCTAAAGCTTTTGAATAAAATGCAACTGTACCTTTGATCTTTGAAGTTTTCTTATCTAATATTTCAATAACAGCTCCAAGAGCATAATCACTTGCATCAGTAGTTATTATATATGTTGCATTAATTTCTGGTGGTTTTAATACTAATGATGATTTTAAATCTAATTTTAATTGTTCAAATGCTTGTTTAACTTCTGGTGATTTTGCTCTCATTTGTTTAAGTCCTGCTAAAATTAATGGGCTAGCTTTAGCTGAAAAAATTTTAATACTCTTCTATAATAAGACATAAAACCGACAAACAGTTGAAATTTTCTTGGTGTAGTTGGAAATTCACAGTCCATGACAGCTTTAATTTTATCATCTGCTGTAGCAATTCCATTTGCACTAATTTTAAAACCTACTACTACTGGTCCGATACATCGAACTTTATTATGAACCTATATCATGACTCTCCCATAACTGCTGAATGATAATCGTTAGTCACCAGACGTAGGATATTAATAAATGCTGTTGATTCAACAGACCTGAAAGACATAAGGAAGAAGAAAAGTTCAACTGAAAAGAAAATTGAAGATTATGGAATAACCTAGATCCTCACGGGACCAATTAAAAACCTCCAGTTTATTTTGATGATAGTAAAGGTTGTTTAACCTAATTACAAGACTCAGAAATATAGTCTGTGTTTGATGTAAAATATGCATATTACCAAACTAACATTCATTCTAATACATACAAATTTGTAATAACTAAGTACAAATTGAGATAAATTTACATTACATTAGTGTAAAGTGAATAGCAAAAACAAAAATAAAACCAGAATAAAAAGCATAAGAGTCTTTCGTTCTGAAGAATGTAATACATAAGTTCATAAAGATTATTACCCGTAAACGCAGCTACATATCGGGCTACATATCGGTAGTATTCGTATAATTATCTTTTCAAACGTGTAAGTCGTTATGATCAACGTCGAACCTAAATTGTTTCAATGTGGTTATGATCTCACAACATTCATTGTGACCGATGGGGCTACTTTCTTGTTTGGAATCAATTTTGTTTTTTACTTACACTTCATTGTATTAATTGTTCAATTGGAACTATGAGGTAAATTTTATAAAATTTGATGTCAATATTATTTCAATAGGTATACTTTTGTAGTTTTAATTTTTTTTTAGTTCTAATTTTAACTTTAATTTTACTTCCAGTTACAAAAGAGTTTGAAACTGTCCATGACAGACGAAAACTACAAAGAGTTTATGCAAACGGAAAATTAAATTTAAAGGGTTGAGACCTTGATTAATACTTACTCTAAAACTGTCAACAAATTCATTTTCGCAGCTTTCCTAGCCATATAATAAGTTTTTTTGCTACTCATAAGATTAATGATAGCCCCTGAATTTTGATGACTTTCAACAAAATCTTTTAATACTGACCGTCCGAAAAGAAAATATTCAGCAGAAAATGGCGAGTTATCGGCTACCAGTGCGATTGATTTCAATTTGTCAATAATGATTTCATAATTTTCTTCGACGTCTTGCAAATTCACATTATTATCCTTACCTAAATAAATTGAACCGATACCGCTTGGGACTTGTTGACCATTCAACTTCTCTTTATCATCATCATCAGCATCATCAGCATCATCATCATCATCAGCATCATCAGCATCATCATCATCATCAATTTCAACCTCTTCTTGTTCAGTAAACATTTCTGAAGCATCAAATATATCAGCGTCATTAAAGTTTTCTGCAATGAAATAGTCCTCCTCTGTGGTATGTTCATCCGTTCTTTGAGCATCACAATTTTGAGAACCAATATTTTGAGGTTGAGAAGCTTTCACAAATAATTCCCCAAACAAAATTGGAAGCTTGTAACTTTCACGTAAAAAATTATTGGATGCATTGATATACTGCTGGAGTTGTTGTCTTGCTTTGATCAGGTAGATGAAAGGGAATTGGTAGTCATCATGAATAAGCCACATTGATAATAAAGTATTCATTGGACGCTGAATTTTTCTAAAACTAAACCCTTTATCAGTTCTAATATCCAATTTTAATATTGTACCTTCAAATTCATTAATGACGAATGCCAATTTCATGGTACTTTCGTTTTTGATAAGGCATAAACATTGAAGAATTATTGTGTGATCGTTAAAATTGTACTTTAAAGCAGTTTTATAGTTTCTGTTTTCCATAAATTTACTAAATCTTGACCCGATTTCATTCAAGAAAGGAATATATTCTTCGTAATTTAATAAATAACCATTCACTGAAACATCAATGATAATATTGAATGCCTTTGTAGGATAAAATGGAAATTCATTATGATCAATACGTTGCTCGTATTCCAATATAATGCCCTCCTTTTCAATCTTCATCCTCAAATATTTGAGCTGAAAGTCCAACAATGATCTATCATAACAATATTGTCAATTCGAGTTGATTATGGTGTATCTTTATATAAAATTTATTGTTTGATTTTTTCATTTTACATAATAATTTTTTTAATACGATCTACATTAATAAATCGATTAGATTTGATTCCTTTACACACTACGTTTTTTTGTAGTAACCTTTAGAGTGAATTCCTATTTTGGAGTCTTAATCTAATTACCTCTATTGTCATAATTAAGTTCAGCTTTCTTGTAGTATGAGTCTGAAAAGTTGACCCTATGATGTGAACTTCAAATTAATTGTATAAATCCATTTAAGTACAGACTCTTTACGACGTAAAATGAAAGATCTAGACTTAATATTAACCAATGATACATACAAATGAAATTTGACAAATTTCTTGTAAAACAAATTATTTGATAACCTCACGCAGCATTTTTTCAAATATAATAATTATGCAATCATTTTTCAAACTTACGAATTAACCCGACCCGTTGTCAGTATTTATTTTTGAGATTAGTTTGAGAAATATTACTTTTGTTTGAAACCTATTGTTTTGCCCAAGAATTTTAAAAAATCGAAATTTGAAACAATATGAAAATTATTATTCGAAAAATGTTTCAATTGCGTTTTACTTTACGTTCTTACAGTCTGTGATTTTGCAGAAAGTGGTGAGGGGTATTTGAATCGAACCCTCTTAAGACCGGAAGTTTCCACTTTATTTCTATTTATTTATTAATGAATTGAACTATTTTTATAGTTTTCAGAAGTTATAATTAGTGAGACTGAGTTCCGATTAAACCAAAGAAAATGAAAATAGTAATGAAGTATCATGATTAAACCAAAAAAAATATTTATTAAAAATTGTCTCATGACTTTTGAATTTACACTCAATTTAGTTAGACGATTGTTCATAATAAAGTATGTGTCAAGGGCAAAAATGTAAAACAAAAATTGGTATTACGAATAAGTAGATATTAAAAATAATTTTGTGTGGGCGAGGTTAAATCTTTTGGTTTTGATCTAACCTCCAAATGCGTTAGATGTTATCTTATTCGAGCAGCCTAGTTTCAAATTATTATTAATTCTTGTCTATTTAAACTTTATTATTTTGTTTCAAAGTAGTATAGTCATTTGAAACAGAGATAGAACAATAAAGATTACCGCAGATTGGTCTGATTAAAATTTTATTTTTTTGTTTCAAAAGACGAGAAATATGGAACAATTTTGATTAAATTTTGCAACATGCGCTGGGCATATCTTTCTAATTTATTTTAAAGTTTCAAACATAGTAGATTCATTTCTTTGACTACAATTTGATAAGATGAAATCGTTAATGTACTCTTGCATAAAATGCTGTTAAAAAATATATAAATACAAAGAGCATGATTGTTTGGTAAAATTAATATAGCTCATAGTTTTACCAACACTAATTTTGTTGACAATTTATTAAATTAGGCTTACATCCAAATTTCATATAACACTTACTTCAAAATGTCCGATTCAGTTGCTAATGATTTGAAATCCAACAGAACCAAAAGAGCTAAAGGTAGAGGTAAAAAAAGAGCTTCTGTTAATCAAGATCCGACTTTAGAGAATTCTTCAAAAGAAAAAATAGGCCATAGGAATGACATGAAAGAGAAAATTAAACAAGAAAAGAAACCAGAAAACGAAAAAGAGAACAAAAAATTCGAAATAACTTTGCTGAATCATAAGATTGCTGAACCACGTAAACTGTTCATAAATAAATCATGTATTCCTCATGAATATGCTCAACTATCAGAAAATTTGAATTATGACAATTTGGTGGTTATAACTAGGGAGCAAAATGACGGAGAAAAATTTTCCTTCATTCCTCCAATCGCATTAGAGTCCGGTGAAATTATTCCTAAAAAAGAATTCAGCAAGATTACAACCGATCGTAAGGAATAGCTGTCAAGATATCTCAAGCGTATATTAGAATAAATGTTCAAAATTTGTATTAATTTAACAAATGTAGTGAGAAGGACTTCGTTTACTCTAGGAACAAGTACAAAAATATAAGATATTGCTCACAACCAGTGACAAATTAGTTTAAAAATGGAAAAACATTTTTGCCCAAACATGCATGTCATGTTGAAATTTTTCTTTTATTTTTTCTGAAATTTCTTATAAGAATCACGTATTGTATTTATCTAAAATCTCTTTGTTGAGCTTTTGTGAAATCTTTTGAAACAAATTAAAACTTTTTAGATACAATCTTTTGAAACAAATAATTCTAAGTCAAAAAGGAGAAAGAAGTGATGCGTATAAAATTTTATATAATAATTATTTACTTTCATAAGCTCAAGCATTTTAGTCAAGATTTAAATGACGTTATCTGCTCTCAATTCAATTTTTTCGTGTTTTTTTCTTTCTTTCATTTGTTTTGATTCACATTCATCTTTTATATTGAAAACATGTCACAAGAATTAATCTCAATCCCAATTGTGAATATTGACAGATCAAAAAAGAAGACAAGTCCATATGACACTGTTATGAGTATTGCAACAACTGTTTGGCTTTTTTTAAAGTTGTATTCAGATTTTGATGTCAGGGTTCAAGGTATTAGGAAAAAGCCGAGTGAAAAACTAAGATGGTTACTATTGATTCAATCACTTGCATCACTCATGAGTACTGAATCTAAAATTGCTGCTCGTAAAATATATTATCAATTTTCACATGTTTGGGGTCAATTTTTCGATTGTTATAATTATTTAAAAAATTTTGCTATAATATTTGATTATGATTTGTTATCAGATTTGAATATTTACTTTGAAAGCTCTGCTAAAATCTACTCAGATTTAGTTCCAGGTTTGAATTACAAATTGGACGATGATTACGCTACAAAATTCAAAAAGATTGGTGAAATTGATGGTCCAGTTGCAGTAATTATTTTGGAAAAAAATTGTATGCTTAGGCTGATGAAAAATTATGTAGAATATTTTCAGGAACAACAAATTAGTGGTCAAAAAGTATGGACCAATTTCATCATTATAAGTGGTTCTGGTTTTCCAGATCTGTTGGTACGTCGATTTTTACAATTTATATCAAGTTCAGGTACAAAGTTAAAACCAATTGTTATTACTGATTCCGATCCTTATGGCCTTCATATCTATTTAACTTACAAAAGATACTTAGAATCAGTGAAATATGTTAGAATCAAAGATGCTTTTTACATAGCAGCCAAATTGGAGTACAAACCATCAAATACTGTCATATTAGAAAATTTAAAAAGAAGAGTTGATATTGACAAAATTATTGTTGAAACTGCTAATGACATGTTAAAAACTAAGGAATGTATGTCGTTAGATAAGCATAGACGTCTTCCGTTGCACATTTATGAATTAGTGTTATCTGAAAAATTTGTTACTGAATTCGATAATGCAGAGTATTTTGAATTGGAAATAAATCCAGGTTTCTTAAAAGAGGAATTAACTCAATATTGATCTTTAAATAGTTTTAAAATCTATAAAAAATAATTTATATTAATCATATTCAAGCTTTTAATAGTATAAATCAATCAGTTTCTCTCAATTGAAAATAATGTACCTCTCTATTTTAATTATGTTACCACAATGGGCACATATGATAGATCAGGATTAATTAGTAAGATTGATAACAAAATTTTTTTGATCTCGAATCAATTTTGCTATACCTGGAAGGACTTTTAATCAAGCATGTAAGTTCAAGTATGACCCATTTAAATTTGATTAATTTGAATTAAGTCACATAAAAATTTCGATAATTCCAAAATTAATTGAAGTGGACTAAGTGAATAATCCACATTGAATTATTCTTCCAATTAGTGTCCGTGAGTATGTAACTTATAGGAGCTAAAGCTAACATTTCCTCTTAGATGATCCAGGACTAATAAATCAAAATGCTGTAAACATTGAGCAATCTGTATATCTCCATTCTGCGAGAGTCCCTATGATTGATCATCCAGCAACTTCAAAAGTCTAAGGTGGAGTATTCCAATTTCACTTGATCATTAAACTTTATCATCAGCTACGCATTTGATATTTCATGGAAATTCTCAATTGGTCGGTATTGATAGAATGAATGTAGTCGTAAGTCAACAAAATATTTTGAGATTAAATGATCGATAATTCATTTCCGTGCGCACAACGTGACATTTCACTCAGTTGAATGTTTCTAAATAAACATAGTGTTGAAAAGCAGTGGTAATTTAGATGATAATGAATTTAGCTTAGTTGATAGATTAAATCCTCTAAATATTAATTTTTACACAATAAATCAGTAAATTTTAGTTTTCTTCGTTCTCATCGGATTTGATTTTAGCTGTACTACCATGTGGGACATGCTGGCGAAATCAAAGTCAAATTTTCACCGAAATTATGAGATAAAATTATATACAACAGATTGATAGATATTTCAGCAAGAATTTATCCAAAATATTAATAGAAGAATATATTTAGACACAATTATGGCATATTCAAGGATTATTATTTTTTATCAAATAACTTAATAAATGCTTCACAAACTAAAAGTTGTAATCTATATGCGCTACCAACTAGCTTAAACTGATAAACATAAGTGTAGAGGATATAAATCGATGGATATTATATAAAACGACAAATATCAACATAAATTGATCCATTAGAATCTCCTACCACATCGTTTTCAAGTGTTTTTTTTTGGGCATTAACCTCATACATATCATTCAACTTTTTATTTTGTATTTCGTGTACCATAAAGAAGTATTCGGTACTCCTTTGAACGCATGGATGGCTAATTGAACGAATAATTTAGGAGGATATGAAAAAATTTGTTATTCAGATTGTAAATAACCCTGAATTCAATTCGGTCCTAATATGAGAGATGGATGTATCTTCTGATGTACTGCGGTACGGATGTGGGATGTATGGAGGTACGGATGTCTGCAGCTGTACAGTTAGGATCGAATTGAAAGGTGGGTAAATAACATAGTAAATCTGCTGTTATATATCTCATCAAATAAAATCAAATTGGAAAGAAATGGATCAACATTATGCACAAGTTGAAGAAACAAAATTGAGGAGAAGGAGTTAGACAAACAGGAAACTAGTTCAACTTTGAATACCTTTATAATAATTTAATTCCCATTGATGTATTCAAATATAGCATTATGATGATGATAGAAACTACATTTGGGCATATAATAAAACACAGTTCTGATCAAGAGAGTGGTTTCTCATATGAATCAAATAATTAACAAAATAATACTTATGTGATATCTCAACTACCATGTCAAGTAGGTCAAGAACCAAATTGAGAAGAGCCACGTAGCGTAAATTAATCGTTAAAAATATACAAACTTTACAGTTTGATTCAGTTTATCCACCTTAATTGTATTCAACTTGATTGTAAGAATATGGAAGTTTTTTATTTTGCATTGATTTTCAATCCATTAACTCATACTCAAGATTCTAAAGTCAAACCTATTACGAAGAGAAGTCATATTTTTGTTAATACATCATTCGACAATGGAATACAAATTCAATTAAATCTTTCAATGAGGATAGAAATCAAACCAATCAATCAAAACATTATCATCTTAAAATTTGTATCTATGAAAATTTTTCCGTCATAATCTTTTCATTATTATTTCCAAACAGTACAGGTTCATCATAGACTTATTAATTGAATTAAAACAAACCCTAATCATTTCTTATGAAATCACTACTAGTTTGGTAAAACATTATCCAAAATTTTTGCAAGTTGGAGTTAATTTACGAATTCGAACTAATATAGTCAATTATTTCAGCACATTCAATACTAATCAGTTCTATCTTATATCAGTCATCATAAAAGCTTAAAATTTGTGACGCAAATGCAATTGAGAAGGATCATAATTTATCCGTTCCAATTGGCCAGCTTTTCGCAAGCGTTATATTAATCATTACATGGAAAAATCTTTGTGTATTACCTTCCAGTGATTTGTTCAACGAGCTTCTTTAACTGTTTTACCATCGAGTGGTTAATACAACATCATCAAAATGCGGGGCAAAATTTTGATCTATCAATCATTACTACATTTATTATTATATTTAGTCAAACAAATTAATTAATACAAGTTCAAACTATTACATTTCAATTATACTATTGTTGCTTTTCTGTTTATAATTTCTATGATTAATTTACAACTGAATCACCAAATCAAGTTCCTTTAAGAAAAAAATTCACAAACAATGTGTTTGAAAATCCATTTTTTTAATTTGATATGCATTATTGACAAACTAGCTTTTTCAATATATGAAGGAATCGTTTAAAATCAAATAGCATTAGTGTTAAAAATCCTAAAAACCAACAACAGATGAATTAAGGAAACGAGCAATATTAGTCACACTTTAATTAATTATTTCATAATGAAGAGTCGTATAGAGATAAAAGTAAATAAACAAAATTTACTTTGAAGATGAAGAAAAAATAATATAAAAAAGTATAAAAAATATAAAAAATATAAAAAAATATAAAGAAATGAGACTAAATCCCATTTTCAACCAAAACAAAGAAGGTAAAAAAAAGATGATCATGAAGATCAATGAAATGAAAAAATTTGACAACGAATTTATAAAACTTCTGAACCAACTCTAGCATGATTCTACCAGGATCTAATTCTTATTTGATAATCCTAGTTGCTAACACCACCTTAACCAACAAGATTGGATATATTAATGTTGCCCAAACCTTTTTTGTGTGTATTACGACCTTTCTTTTTTTCTAATTTTTTAACTTTCCCAGGTTTTGCTCTATAAGTACTATAGTTGTATTTATTTGATGCCATTCTTGGAAATACAGCTAATATCTTATCAAATAATGAACCATTTGTAGTTTCAAATATAACATACTTGAACCATTCATCACTTCTATCATAATACACAGTCAGTTTAGTTAAAAAATCTCCTTTAAGAGTATCACATAGACCCCTTAATCTATTGAAACCAATGCCAAATGATTCAGAAAGTTCAGTCAAGGCAGCATTATCAGAAATGTTATGAAGGTCGAAGATTGCCATTAGTGCTCTATGTTTTATTATATGGAATTCTTCCTGACTCAAAATTTGATCTTCGTTCATTCTAAATTCTTTCATGCTTATTATTCGTTGATCTTTAGCTAATATTTCAAATTCTCCAATAAAATTCATAAACTCTTGAGCGGAATATCGCCACAAAACAGTGTCCATTGCACTCTTGGAATAGTTTAAAATAGATCTCAGCATTTTTCTGAATTCCGCAGAAACTTTAAAGTCCTTGTCAATAGCATTTAAATTTTGCCCAAGATCAAGTAATTCTTTTTCTAATAATTTTCCTAACACATAATGTTCTAAACCGAATTTTGTAGAATCTACGCATTTAATATACAGACCTTCATCTTTTGATTTATTGAATTTATTTTTCAAGTTTATAATTTCCTCCTTTTTGAGACCCATTTTTCTAGCCAAGTCTAAAATATTTTCTTCCGAACAGTTTGATTTGACAAAAACTCCTGCTAAATCTAACAATTGTTGATAAGTTAAAAGTGGAGATGGTATAAATTCTGCAAACGAGACAGATTCGCTTTCTTCTTCATTACGGGAAATTTCAACAAATTTTCTATTGATAGCCATCATTTGTATTTCATCCACTGCCTTTTCGATTGCATCACTGAATAACTGAGTCGCCTTGTAGTTTCTCATTAAAAACACTGAGGTTTTATAAATTGGAAATAGTGTTCTACTGTTGGGGCATAAATTAAGGCAAAAAAAAGGTACACTGCTAACCCATAAAGTATCTTCCAAAACAAATTGTTCTGATTTCTTGAGGATATTACATTTGTATATGACATAGACCGAAATTAGTTTTGAAAGAATATAATGATCAAAAAAGTCCCATTCTTGACCGTTCATTGCAGGTAACGAAATGTTCGACTCATTGCTTTGTTTATTTAAATTTGGTTCTTTAATTAATTTTTCTCTTATAACTCGCATATAACTGAGGATAGTATATGATTTATATTTTGATAACTCATTGTATTTCGATCGTAATGATTCTATAAATTCTGTAGTAAACATGACCAGATAGTTAACTCGACATTCATCCATCAAGATTTTATTAGCTGTTAAGTCTTTTTCACTTAAAGAACTTTGATTACGAATCTTTTCTTTTGACAACCAATATTTGAGATTAATAACAGTACGATTGCTTAAACCAAACATCAATTTCAAGGCATAGTTTCTGCTCAATTCGGTATCCAAAACTTTATCTTCATTGATACATAAAAATATATGAATTGGGTGAATCCAATTAAATTTTGTAGATGATATATTGATAAATTTATTTGATGTACTGATAGAACAAACACCGCCGTATTGGTGGATAGTTTCTATTATAAACTCTCTATTTGGTTCATTTTGATCAACATGAAAGATGGTTGGTTTACCTCCATATTTAAATAAACTAATATTATTAGAATTTTCATTAAATTTGCTCAAATCCAACTCAAACTCCACGAATGGTAGCATAAATTCTTCTAGTATTGACTTATAATTTTGAGTTGAACTTTTTGATGGATCAATTTTCAATGTAACATCTTCAGTAGGTGATCCAATGTATATTTTGTTGATCTCCAAACCGGTGTATTCGTCTATAATGGACTGAAAATATTTATTGTGTTCAGCATTTTCGGGGTAAACGGTATTGGTGATACTATTTTTCATACTGCTGAAATTAAGTCTTTATAAATAAGGTGACAGATTTGTTGGTAAAAAGGTAAAACAAAAAGGTGATGAATGATGATAATGAAATTGATGAAAATTTGTTTGAATTAATATTTTGACAGTTTGTGATGATGATAATGAAAACAAATAAAAAGCTTAATAATTGAAGCTGAATGAGATCTATGAAGATTTTACCGTAATCAATGAACTACTTTACAGTCGAGCTTTTGAAATTGACTATGTTTCAATCAGGTGGATAAGTTGATAATATAGGGAAAAAAAGAAGCAGTGAAATCTCAAATTTTTGAAGTGGTAAATTTAATCCTATTAGTAACAAAAAATTTGAGGGGTTTAATAATTAATAATTAAATTTTGTGTACGCGTTTTTATCTTAAATATTACTTGGTATAATTTATTTAGAATAATTTCCTGTGATTGGTAAGTTTATTTAGATAAAAAGTATATTTGAGCTTTTAGTTATCTTTGTTCATCCAACTTCAATGATTTTTTTTGAGTATGAAATCAAAAGTTAGAGGTATTGAAACTTGTGTTATGGATCACATTAATTTTGATTTTTTTACTCTTTTCTGCTACCAAATAGTGTTATCTGTAATTATGAAACATAACCAACCACAAAGGTCTACGTCTCAAGTGTAATTAAATGCGACAGATTCATTACATATTAAACATAAATTCTGGGGTACATTGTTTTTGAGCGTTGTATTCAACTTTCTCGCATCAAATTTAATTGACCAAATACTAATTATGTAAAATAAATAAATGTTTTAACAATGGTTTGTGTTAGTAAATTTTAAGTTTATAAATTATCTATATAAACTCAAATACTAAACTTTTGTGTAACGTTATTTACTTATCATTTTTTTTTTAATAATTATTTGTATGTTCAATATCATATAATTCTAAATTTGAATATAGCGTTAAAGATAATTATTTCTGAATTTGTTCACAAATTTGAGCATATAGCCCGTTGAAAATATCCAAGGAAAAGTAGTGTTGTAGTTAATTTATGATTGTTTGTAAGTTGTATAAAATATTCCAATCTTGATAACATTTATAAAATTTGATTTTAGGTTTAATAATAAATTATTGCACTCAAATCAATTTTACGAATCTAATACTATTGTAGATCTGTTTCGATAGAGTTGACCATAATTTGTAAAATAGCTGGCTGTATATAACGATATATAATTAAGTTGTTAAACCTTTTAATAATGAAGTAAATCACTTTTGTACCTTATTGTATTGCATCATATTTGAAGCTTCTTACACTAGAAAAGAAAAGACATATGAAGTGGTAAGGCTTGTCGATTATGTTTAAAATCTAACATCTTATATAGCACAGTACTTATATATTGGTTGTTTGAATGCTGTGATATAGCTATTTGCTATATGCAAGAGTCATAGTTATAGATTTAGTTAAAAACGTAAGCTTAGTAATATTTTATGGATTGAAAATTGAATGAGCGACGAGTTTAGCTTGAAAGAACTACATTACAAAGTCTGTAGTTTAGATTAATTAGCAGTCTATACCACAAAATCGTGGCCCCAAACAGTCAAGCTATTTGTTTTGCGAATCCAACAATATTTAGTGCAAGTCCATCAAACAATAAAGCAAATCAAATAACAATCACAAATCATCCAGGACTAATAATTCTGACCTTGATTTTGCACCAAGGTAAAGCTCAATCATCTCAACATCAACCACACACGACATTACATATACAATCTCAAAGCTTCATCAACTCAATTAGGTCAAGATGTAAACCAAACCATTAATGATATTACTTCAAACAACCATAACAATTTTACCTAACCTATTTTGTACAACAACATCTTACAAGAGTTAGAAAGAGTTCCAATGCATTTAGAAGCTGACGATATATTAGAACCCATCAAGATTAAATTCAATATTGCCAATGATATCGCAACAGGCTTCACCCTTTCACAAATGTCATTTAACAATCGTTTAAATCAAGATACTGCCCAATCATCTTATTCGAAATGGATTTGAACTATCAATATTTAAGAGCTCAATCAAAAGACATAATAGATTTAATCATCACCCAATTGAGACATAGTCCATTGGCATTACATCTTAACTTGCTCAAAACTACCTCAAAGCCAATCACAGCTATAACCTTAGATAAATCACTTGAATTCAGTTGCTGTTGGAAAGAATTTGGAACTTCATTGCATTAAATTTCAGCTGCAAATTAATTTAACAAACTTCATAATCAACCAACAACTTCAACTCCTAATACAACCAAAAAAAAAAAACAATTAAATGTCAGACCTGTTGGAAAAATCATTGTTCATCGGCTTGTACACGTGAAAGATTTTTATTTGCTGCTCATACAACAATGCAGCAAAAAGCTACTTACAAGATGGTCAACCTTTAGAACTATTAGCTTCAGAAGTTTCATTAAAAAGTTATCCACATTTTGGTGATGCTCCGGATAATAATGCGAAGCTTTCTCAACCAAAGGCCACTTCAAATTAAAACTTTCACATCTCAGCTTAAAAGAACAAAAGAGACCTCAAACAACATATCTACTACAAAAGGGCCTAAAACTCCATCAACAATCAAAGCTGCAAACGACCCCAATTCAACCATCCAAGAAAAAACAACTCAATCATCAACATCTGATCAACCTATAAACTTCAACCTCATCTTAAAAGAATCAGGCAGTCAAAATATAATTATTCTCCCGATAATAAAGGAGCTGTTTATTCAGAAATTATCAACAACAGCAATGTTAAGTTGAATACAAAACAATTATTTGGAATTTCTCCACAACTGCAAAAACATCTCAACACTCATACACAATCTCATCTAGTTGATCCAGTCAAACTTCATCATTTGCCGATCAAAACGTTATTGACTTTGTATCAAATCAAACAACCAAGATATTGAAATAGTAATTAATACTGGTTCACAAGCTAATTTAATTTTAAAACATGATGTCAACCAATCAATCACGCCATTCCAACCTATCCAAATCAAACTAGCATTGATTCATGAACAAACCAAAAATTTCACTTCATTAATAACAGCTGTGGTAACAATATATGACTTAGATTTCAGTGTTTCATTCTTAGTTCACAACAACTTACCAGCAGGCACAATCATACTTGATTCTCCATTTATGAAAAAATTTCAGTGCTCCATCCGATATCCTAAGCAAGACCAACAATATATTTCATTCATCCATAATAATCAAACTTATACCTTCAAATCACAAAAAAATAATTCTTTGGTCATCAATGAAATGCAAACAAGCTCAGCTTCAGCTCAAACATTATTACCATTAATCAAACAACATGCATTTAAAAATACTGTTTTAACTCAAGCACATCAAACAACGAACTATCAAAAATTTCATTTGTATTTCAACATGAAAATCAACCACCGGGAAGACCCAATGAAGCTATTCAACCACCAATTGACTTACTATACAAAAATCATAAACCATGGAATTTTAAGCCAATACCACTACATCAAAGAAGAGTTGATGCTGTCAAAATTAAAAAGCATGGAGCAACATAAACAACCTGTCCCAAGTAATGCCACATATAGCAATCCTTGGTTTTTAAAGAAGAAATCAGACATTCAGACTTTTAAGTGATCTCAGAGAATTTAATAAAGTTTCACTAGTCATAGTACTCCATTAGATGTTCAACAAATTTGTGAAGAATGAAATGGTAAAATTATAACAACTCTGGATATTTCAAATGCATTCTATCAAACACCTATCAACGTAGAAATATCAGATCCAACAACGATTAACACACCAATTGGTTTATTAAAATTTGGTGTTTTACCACAAGGCTACTTTGCTTCAAATTCTACATTTCAAAGCACATTAGAAAAAATCCATACACCAGTTGCTGATTCAATTATCATCTACATTGAAGACGTATCATTGGACCATCCAATAACAATCCTGGAATCATCAATACCATCATCAAAACCTTGCAATTACTCAACAATGCAGGTTTGAAAATTAACCCAACCAAACTCAAATTTGCAATCCATAAATTTAATGCTTTAGGTTATAAATTTTCACCTCAAGGTCAACAAATAGATTACACGCAATCATTGATTAACCAAAACCCACTAACGTCACCCAACTTCCACGTTTAATGGGAACCATCAATTATTTCAAACATCTTATCCCCAACGTATCATATTACATATCACCATTTTATCAACTCATCCACAAAAACAATATCTCACCCAACAAGAAACTCAATTGGACTGATAAAGCCAACCAATCATTCAAACAATTCAAAGCTTTATTATCAACATCACCAATCATAGCTCCAATTGATTCTTCAAACACTCATCACCTTACATACTGATGCTTCAGATCACGTCTGGGTCGGTGTTTTTCAACAAATCAATAATGAAACTAATCAACCAACTATTATTGCAGCTAAAAGTGGTATTGTCAAATCAACTGAGTTAAATTATACAAATTATGAAAAGAAATAATTGGTGATATATAATACATTACTTTCATCATCAACTATCCTCAACCATCACAACAAAGTTTTATACATCTACTGCGACAACAAAGCTTTACCAGAATTATTTATTCCATTAATTCATCTTTCCAACTTCATCGTGTTTTAAAATGGTGGGAATTACTTAGTAAAACCAACCTTAAAATCATTCATAAACCATCATCAGAAAAATATTTAGCTGATGCAATTACCAGAGCAGCAACAGATGAACCCAACTGATAAAACAACTACCAACTCAAGAGGTCATCAATACAATCTAAGAAGGAACTATATCATTAATATTTCAACATTAACAACTACAACTTTTTGATCTACCAATAAATTACAACCTCATTTTTAATTCTTTCCACTTCAACAAATAAAACCTCTTTCATCACCCCCAACATACCACGACAAAATCAAAACATTGACAGAAGGAAAATATCAATTAAAACTTCATCAAACTTTTTTATCATCAACAACAACTTATGTAAAATTGGTGAAAATGGAGAATTTGCTAGAAGAGTCTCACCTGCTAATAATGAAATCAATCAACTTATCAAACTTGTACATGTTGAAGTAGGTCACTTCAAAACTATCAATTTTTATCAACTAAACACTTATTTTTTACATACCAAATTTATATAAACTTATCACCAACTATATCAAATCCTGTCATCAATGTCAACTAAGTGACCCATATCATCATGAGTATGATCCTTTATATGTCAAGATGCCATCACTTATATTTTCAACTTGAGTCATTATCATTGTTTATCTTCACGAATATTACTTGGTCATAGGGATATTTTTTTACGGTCTAAAGCTACATTATTAGATAAAATCAGTGCCGCTTCTGTTGCTAATTTCATATATTCAAACATCATTTGCGGATTTGGTATTCCTCAAATCATTCATTCGGGTCAACGTAATGAATTTGACAATGATTTAGTTAAATACAACGTAACCAACTACAATATCAAACACACTTTCAGTACAGCCTACCATTCACAATCAAAAGGCAGTTATTGAAAGAAATCATCAAATCATCATGAACTATCCTCGAAAAAATTCCAGTAAAGAATCAAGATATTAACACATGCTTATGGACTAACTGTACCATAATAAAAAGAACAACAGGCTTTAGTCCCCAATATCTTGCATTAGGTTACACTGGAATCTTTCATCTTTCTACTACAATCCAATTCCACGAGAGCAAATATCAATCGAAGAACATTTTCAACAAAGATTCAAACAACTACAAAACAAAAATCATCTTTCAGTTTCAAATAAAATCTTACTAGAAAGACTCAAATCAAAACAATATTATGATCAAGCTCATCAAATTCACAAAACAATTAATGTAAATGATTGTATTATTATGGGATAGACAGTTAAAAAATTCATTTGGCGCTAAACTTAAAAAGCATGATATGATTTGGTTTGGACCTAAACTTGTTACAAAGAAGCTAGATAGAATATATTACTTAGAAGATCAGTTGGTAACAAACTGAAACACCCTTATACTAAAGAGATGATCAAGTGTTACTATAAAAGAAATCAATTAACTTAAATCTACAACATCATTTTCAAAAAGGTGAGCCTGTGATATAGCTATTCACAATATGCAGGGATCATAACTCTTTCACACAACAATAAATATATAGTTAGAATTTAGTAATTTTTTATAGACTGAATATTGAATGAACACAAGTTGAAAGAAATTCATTACAAAGTTTGTAGTTTAGATTGATTAGAAGAACCCACATTATTAAATTTTTTTTTTGTAAATTCACACTACATCAGCCACCAAGGTATAAAAAAAACAAAATATAATATATTATATTATCATACACATATATGATACCTATTAATTTAACTTTTATATTGCCAATAGATTCAAACTCTTCATTCTAATCAAATTGAAATTATCATTCATTAACTGA